GTCCAGATGACAAGGCCTTTCCTAAAGGTAAGTCCCACAGAGATTTAGTGTTTTTAAGGTTTTTTTGACTGAACGTTTATATTTTTATTTATTTATGGCCTTATGGGGACCTTTATTTATCTACTGTAGCAATATTTTTTTTTAATTTACAGATTTTTATTCATGAGTTGATGATTTAAGGATCCTATGCAAGCACAACAAAATTGCATGAAAAAACAAATTTACAGATTTTAAAATATTTATTAATTTTTCACATGTAAACAATTTTGGTGTGCTTTTATTTATAAATAAAATTAAGAAATTAAACAAATCATAGAGTGTAACATTTTCATTACTTAATACTTAATAAAATTAAATAAAATTATACATTTTTATATTTGGAAAATAACAGTATTTCAAAGGAAGTCCAATAAACTCCAAGAGAATATTAAATTTATTTCAACCAAATACACAGTGTGGTATATATTTTACCTACACAATAAAGTGTAAAAGGGTGTATGTGTAAATATAACGAAGTTTATCTTGTTTAAATATATTTATTTATTTAGTGAAAATGATCCACATAGTTATTTATAGGGTAATCATAAAGTTTACAATATATAACTTGTTTATTAATAATTGTTAATTAGTTTGGTTAATCATATTAAAATTATTGAACAATAATGTTAAGCATTGTTTTATAAATTTGTGATTAGTTATGGGGGATTGAATTAAAATTATTCGTATTTAATTTAAATTAAATAAATTTTTTTTTTATTTTTTCCGCACTAAAATTTTGTTATTATCATTATTCAATGCACATTGAACCAAATCTGAATAAATAATAACACATTCTATGCTATTGAACCAAGGGTTATCAAACCTGACTTAAATAAAATTGTTTAAAAATGTAACATTTTATTATACGTAATTTTAACTATTTTGTAATTTCTACTCCCACCTTTTAAACGCCCATTATCGTACATGTTTCCATGACACTAAGTGACCTTTTAAATGCACATTGACAAGTTGTGGCTTTATGGCGCTTTAGTCACGGGCTGAAGTTATTTTTAAGTTAGTTGAAAGTTGTCAAATGTCATACAATCGATAAAATAAAGTGCCCTTCTTGTAAAATAATACTAAATGTAAAAAATATTTTATTATCTCAATATTAAATAGTTTCTTAACGCCAATATTTAAAAAGTTTATATGAACACGTGTAGTGCCCATAAACATTTTTTTACTTTTACCATGAAAACTGTTGTTAGTCCATTTTCAAGGGATACAATTTGATTTACACCTAAAAATTTGACATTCTCAAATACAGATTCCCAAGAATGGTTACTCTATTGTTTTATAGATGTCGCTCTATAGAAATATTTAATTTAAATCATGTATAAATAATAATAAGTATTTGTTGTAGAAAAACTATAGTATGCAATTCGTTTATAAACTTTTCTATACTCGCTCGCCCGTGCCTAATTAAAATTCGTGTTTAATCAAACTTGATACATAATATATTAAAATTTTGCGTCTTTCCTTTCTATAGAAAATGATCTCTATAGAAAGCAATAAACCAATCAGAGCACGGCATTCTCCACAGCACACTGGATGCGATCAAAAACACTCAACGCAAAATACTTGCAAAATAATTAAAATATACTTATAGCAACACAGTTTCTAAACATACGCCTAGACATGTCCTTTTTTAATATAGTTACACACAGTTCTTACAATTTCAAAATAATTTAAACATTGCAAAAGTCAATTGCAATTATTCACCCACCCTGTATAAATACGATCTGACAAGTTGTTATTTATCAAAGCTAATTTTATTTTATTGATTAGTAATGTAAAGCTTCTTTGTTTAAAGCGATTTCAATTTAACTTGAAATTAAGTTTGTTGCGTACATGTGTAGGTATTCATGTTTTTGGCATCAATGCCTTTACGGAAAATTCTTGATAAAACTTAATAATCTACCTTAGACTTAGACAACGGTAACAAATAATTATCTTAAAATATTCCAAACACCTACACAAAAAATGTTAAAAATGTTCCACCTTAGTTTTTCCCCTTGAAATTCAAAACTAGTACCTACTTTTAAATTAAGTATCAAATAACTATATCATCGAGATTTGATTAAGAAAAAAAATTAAACTGGATAACCAGGTTTTACTTCGATCATTTTTGCTTTTATTATCTTGAATGTTTTAAATGCATTCAGAAAATATTAACTATATATGGTATAAAGTAAAGAAGGCTAATATGGCTACTTATATTAAAGCAAATTTTATATTGAACCTTTACTTTACTCTAGGGAAAAATAGTTTCTTCCAAAAGTCGTTTCACTTATCTGAAAACACACTGTATAAGTTATAGACTTTTTTTAATGATGCAAATTTCATCTAAAGCCCATCCCATAAGAATGTAAAGATTTAAAAACATTGGTAAAGAGTTGCATATGGCGTTAACAGGCCTTTTAAGTGTGCCATAAAAATTAAAAATAAATTCATATCATTAACAGTCAACTTAAATTTTGTTTATGGTGCCTTTAATGATTATTGATTTATACGCTTTTTGTTCTTTTAATGACTTTATATATATTTATCCAGTTGTACCCAAAATAAAGATATATGTCGTCAAAATAACAACTGATATTTTTTTGCTTTGTCATGTATAAAATAAGAACATCATTAAGTAAAAAAAATGTGACCAGTCCATTTTAAACAGAACGTTATCTAAAATACCCAGCCCTGGAATCGCATAAACTAATTCACAATGTACTGAAATAGTTGTAAATGTATAGTTAAGTGCTATCATTATTGCCACTTTATAAAACTGTATCTTACGGTATCTTGTCAGTTATTTACAAAACCAATTCAAATAGCTGAGTAAACACAACGATGGCCATATTGTTATCGCTACCTAATTACTTTGTGCACCACTACGACTCCAAGCTCCGTATCCAAATCTTATATGTCACATAACATTGATTTTTTGTAACAAATACTACTAGCTATAGCATATAAGATAATAAATTAATTAATGAAAGTAACCAGTTTATTTCCTATTGTCTTTATTTAATTAATTAAATATAACACTTTTATCCAATGAGAATTTTAAACAATACCATTATATTGTCAGCCTAATTAAAAAAACAAAATGTAAATAGGTTTTTACACTTTCTTTTTTCTTTGTTATAAAAAATAGATAAATAAATAAAATAAAAAACTGTTTAATATGATCATGAAATTTAATGTTGTCCCTAAAAATTACCATACAATTTTTACCTGTATACATCGTTCAATCATAATGCAGGACCTATATTCATTTCCGTCCGGTTTTATTGTTGATAAACATACAATAATAACATATAAATATGGCATTATTATTTTTTAAATACCATACATGATTTTTCTAGTATTATTTATTTTTAAATATTTCTCCAAGAACATTTCGTTTACACAGAAAGGATTTTAAATATCCTTGATGATGAGTTATTTTTCCTTACGTCCCACAAATTCCCACGTAAAAACATTGTTTTTTAATATCAAAAAATAAATGACTTCTTCAGTAATCCTTTATGTTAGATAAATTTAAAGGTTTATTTCTGATTTAAATGAAACAAAGAATTGTGTATATTAATTGAGTGAGTCTACAATATAAGGTAAATAAATATAGAACATACTTTATACAAAATGTACACACAATGGAATTACACAGTAATTACGAAAAACAGTATTTTACTCAAAAAAAAAGTCATGATGAAATTAAAAAACACCAATTTTACTACAAAAATTAAGAAAAAAAATTCAAACCAATTTTCCCCAAAAGGAAATGTAAAGCTATTTTTTGTAATTACTGGATAATTCCATATAAGTTTGGTTGTTTGTATATTCATACAGATAAACAAAATAACAATAAATTAAGATGTCTTAAATCTTGATCAAAGAACGGTGCTTTTCATCCAAAAGCGGCCTTTTCTTAAAATGGAGAGGTAGCTGTGTTTTCAAGTTGATATGTCTTCTGTGTATTCAAAACTTGCTTTAAATTACAGCTATTTATAAACACATTGTTTTAAAAGTTATACAACAAGTTTTGCCAAAGTTAAGATTTTATAGTTAGGTTTGGAAGGCATTTTCTTGATACCAAAATAGACATTATTCACGAAGCCTTTAAACTTAAATATATTGGGTTGACTAAGCCTTTCGTTCTTAGGTCATTTAACTATACAACATTAGGAAATATGGATACGGAGTTCGAAGATATAGTAGTGCACAAATCACTCCCAACTTTGATGCAGCATTTTTAAACTAAAGCAATAAATGTTATTTTATACAATAAATTTTTTTAAATGAAGTACTTTTTATTTAGGACTGGTAAAATAAAAACAATGTTGACTGACATTATTATGTCACTGTAATTATGTATTTTCTACTAGGAAAGTAGTCAAAGTAATTCATATCATTAGTTGTAGTATCAATGAACTGAAATAAATAAACACACCTTTTATTGTTTTGCAATTTTCTTAAGTAAATTTAAAAATGTTTTGAATGAAACTTAAATATGTAAAAGATAAAAAAGTTGGTTGTTCCAAAAATATATGTGCATAATACATAAATTATTATATATTTAAATCCAATAAGCTCTATTGTTTATATACTTAGATGATGAAGAGTTCCATTATGTAATTTAAATATTCCCGTATATATTAATTATAGAAACAGTTTAAGTGATTAATACATAGGTTAGTCAAAACAATGGCTTTTCTGTTTTTAGTTCTATTAAAACCATTGATAGGCATTCAATTTGACATTTTTTCATATCTAGTTCGTTTAAAAGAAATTAAGAAAAATCAATCAAATTTTATCCAATTTTGAGTAGACCTAGGTCAGGATCGTAGACTAAATTTAGACAGGCAATGAAAGTCCGAAGCTTTGCGTTTAATTTAAACTAGTAGTTGGGGTCGCCGTGTATATGTCCAAGTAGCGTAGTACCTTGTGAAATAGCTAGGTACGGTACTGGGTTATTGTTGGCGCTCAGCGAGCGTAAAGCACTTTAGTCTTTCCTGTGAATTTCAACAAATAAACACGTAAATGTTTTAGTCAGTCGTACTGTTGTTTTAATGTGTTCAAAGGCCCTTTTTCATGATTTTCCTGACATTGGTGGTGAGTTTTTGAAAGAATTATTTTAATACTAAACTTTTGGTTCAAATAGATAATAATCACATAACACGTTATATTGTTAGTCATTTTGCGGTAAAAGGTACGTGAGAATATTTTTCGTAATTATTTTTTTGTTACAAATTTAATTAAATTCAGTTTTATTTAAAATCTGATAGAGTCTATTTTAGTAATATATCATTTCTTTTCACCATATACATACTACATAGATACAGGCAAATTCTAAAGGTTATGATATGACTAAATTGCCCTGCGAGTAATTATCTAGAAATTATCTATAAATGGAATATTTTCCTCTAAGGTATTTATTAATATATAACCATTGCATAAAACATTTCACTGTATGCAACTATTTTGCTATTTTTCTTTATACACGGCTACATTGTATATTGTTAACATGTTGTCAAGGTGCGCTAAAATGATTCACCAGTTTAGGTTTATTTATTATAATTAAAAACGTAATTAGTCACCTGGTATTTAATTTTGACATCTTAAGATAATGTATTAGGGCCTTAAGATGTTAAAAAACACTGGTTTCGAAAATTGAGATAAAGTAAAACCTATCAAAATATTGAAAATGCTTATGTTTCAAAAACTCAAAGTTCGGTTGAAGTCTGTGGGTAAAAGGCATAAGGGGATAAGTCAAAAAAAGAAATTTTTCAATAGAGCCTTTAACGTGTTCGCATTAATTCAGGAAATATATTTATGTTTAGCGGGTATACGCTTTTGTTAGCATATGACATGTGCTAACAAAAGGGTATACCCGGTATAGCGCGCTAACCATAAATATGTTTCCTGAATTAATGTGAAAAATTGCTTTTTTTGACTTATCCCCTTATGCCTTTTACCCACAGAAGTATAAATGTATAAACATCAAAGGTTTTCTAAATTGTGGCATATCGTTATTTTCCAGATATAAACGGTAGCATCTCGCAGAAATGGAGACGCCTAAGAAACTGTTGCGCTTCGTTACGAGGTGTAAGCTCACACAACAACAGTCCGGAGCCGTCACGTGACTCCCTTCTAGACTCATCTAGTCCGCAAATTCTAGTCAGCACCCCGCATGCTACATCGTCACTTCGACTGCCCGGAGCGAAAAAGAACAGCGTACAAGACGTGTTACGCGCCAAGTTGTCGAGGATACATGTCGGTTTGAGAAAGAGAAGGGCTCTGTCCGTCCAAGAGTTCTTCAACAGTCCTACGCATGAAAAGAAGCCCACTTTTTACGTGCCCTCGCCGAGTTCGCCCGACCCAGGTTCTACATCTTTGGATGGGAAAGTCCCTCTGAAAAGCGCTTCGGAAAGAAGACGGGCACGATCCAGACAACGAACTGTCACATCCTTAAACTTTAACGTGTCCAGAGATTATGGTTATGACAGCTGTCAAAGTGAAGGTTACGATTCCTTACCATACGAACCTCCTCCCGATTACGATGAGGAGGAATCGACAATCAAACGCCGCTGGTCGGTGGTGGGCAGCGTACTGAAAAAATCCAACGAAACCAAACAGCAACCAATTAAGCTAGAAAGTGCCAACATTAAAATCCCAAAAACGAAACTCACGAATCGAAAGCACCTCGAACGGGCGCGATCCCATTCCCCGAACAAAAACAAGGACCACGCTAAAAGTGTGTCCGCCGAGCAGATTGCAAGGAGCAATCAAACCGTTGTCAATTCCAAAAGCCACTACGAGCTGGTCGGTGGCGTTAAACAAAGACCGGAAGTGGACCATCATCCCGAAAACGGACAAAAACAGGTAAATTTTTTTGCCATATACGGTGCGCCAAAATCAATTTGTTCTTTATATTAAGATACCTTTAAAGGTTTCTTTTAAATGTCGGACCAACCGTGTAGGTCCAACAGCGGAACTAAATGAGATCCTTATCTTGTCTGCATTGCTAAGTTTTTTCGCTTAAATTACAGGGCACAAAACGTTTATTTTCATAAAAATAATAATTCATTATTGATATCTTTTGTTGACATATTAGCTTGATTGCACTCTATCCTTATTCAAACTTATCCTTATTTTGGCTTATCTTCATTTCATCTTGTTGTCATTTAAGCTTGTCTTCATTTTAGCTTATATTTCGCATATAGTACCTACACAAACAGTTCCATGTCCACTAAACAATTTACTGCAACTCTCCATATCACGTAATAGTTGTACCTATAGTAACCAACATAAAACAATGAACGGATCCCAAGCAGCATTTTTGGTTCCAAAAACCATTGCCAAAGTGGTGATAACTTTAAATTAGTTAAGTATACTAAACAGCTACTTTAATTTTTACTTAAAAGTAATTCTAACTTTTAAATAGCAATATTTTGTAACAGAAACTTAATTTTTCCTTAAATTGTTACTATAAAGTAATAAACATTTAAGTAAAACTTGGTTGCCCCCAAGAAGACTTTGCAACTTTAAAAAAGATGTTATAAGTAAAAAAAACTTTCAAGTAAATTTAATTTGTAGCAGTTACTTTCGGTTGCTACCTAAAGATTACATTATAATTATTTTTACTTTGTAGTCCCTTTGCAAGTTAAAATCTCGAAACTGGAACATGAGTTAAAAACTACAAAGTTAATAACTTAAAAGTTATTATTTTAGTATTTGGAACGTTTATGGTACTAACCAAAACAACCGTAAAGTGGAAAAAAACTTTAAAGTAGCGAAAACTACTTCAAAGGAAAATGCTTCTTATCGGCCATTTTTTACTGTACAGTACCACGTGGTAATGTAAATAATAAATTATTTTAATTGTTTGTAAATGGTTGTTTACTTTTTAATAAATAGAAATATTGTTGGTAATAGACGGTATTAATAATTAAATAAAAAAAATAATAATAAATATTAAGATTTTTTTATTTATAAACATTACTAAATAAATAATTTGTTTATACTTAAATATTGATGAAGCGCATTTATTTTACAAAAACTAAATTCATAAGTTCAACAGTAAAATTTAAAGGGTTTATAAATCTACCTGTCTAATTAAATATTATATTGTTATTCTGGAAGTTATAAACTACCAGTACATATTTAATAAACGACGACATTGAAAAGCCAAGTCCGTAGTGGTTCCATTTAAAAAAGGAGGGATAGTATAATCTAATATAAGTTTGACAAAGACAGTTAATATAGAAGTAAAAACAAATAATAAAAGTAATTATAACGCTCTAGCAACGATATTGGAACGTTCTAGTAACGTAGCAGCTACGTCCCAAATAGTAGCAGGGTTGGTAGCTAGTGACATATTTGCTACCTTTTTGGAACTCAATAATTGTTCCCCACTTTAGTCGTAACGTAGTAATGAAAGAGTAATATAAAGAGACCGGCGACTGTCGCAAAACACTTTGAAGTTTCTTCAATAGTCCCATATACGTAACAAATACTTAAATTGTTGTTTGGGATGTTATATGAATCTAACAACAACAGCGAAAAAAAACGGTTGAGTAGGTAACATAAATGGGTATATAATTTTTATCAACAACCATGACCATTTAAAAAACACCATAATGGTAAAATTTATAATTAAAGCGTTATGAGTGCCTAACACTTTTGACTCACTCAAGTATGTTATGTTTAAATATAGAAATACTTTTGTTGTTCTCTACTGTGCACAGAGACCGACATCAAAGAGCGAATAAAATGTATGCAAACGATTTGTTTGGTTGAAACAGCATACATTTCCTACCACAATAGGGGTTTATTCTGAATACCATTACAATGCGTAAATGTAAGAATCATGTAAAGCTCAAATTAGCAAACACAATTTAACTCTTTGTCTAAGACATGTTTTGGAAGTAACTAAAAAGTCGAACTTTGTATAAAACGCTATTAATTAAGGTATTTACGCTTCTTAAATAAACCATATGTGTTTATTTGGATCAACTAAAACCATATTAAGATCTTATCGACAAGCACAATATACAGAGTGACGTAATATTATTTTAGGAATGGATTGAGGAGCTAGAAGAGATTGAGGAGGAAGAAGAAAGTAAATTCTGCACGTTACCACGTGGAGGTGGTAGCACCTTTACGATACGCCAAGTAGTTTTCCAAAAAGGTCAAGGTTTTAAAGCACTTGGTTTTAGCATTGTTGGAGGGAGGGATTCTCCCAAAGGAAGCATGGGGATATACGTGAAAACGATTTTTCCCAATGGCCAAGCCGCCGATTGCGGAAACCTCAAGGAAGGTAAGTCAAAAATTTTGACAGCCACTTCATATGAAAGATAGAAAGTTCAAAAGTGACTTGCTTTTATAATATATCCAATTAATTATTGATGGACTTGGCAACGTTGTGCGACTATACAAGCATTATTATTTAACCTTAAACTTTAAATTATAAGACAAGGGTGCATTAAAACCAATTAGATATTAATCTGGTAATTCATGATGTATGTTTAGGTCGTTGTACTTAAATTGCTTGAAGTGGACTTATAAATAATTATACGTTTTATATAGCCTACTGTTCAGTTGATTTTTCAGAGAGATCAAACGTTTTTTATGTGGGTTATTTTACTAATTAGTTGATACTAAATTATAATTTATAGTACGTGGGTTATCGCAAAAAGATATTATTAACATGAAAGTTGACATAATTATTTCTTATGACACCTACAATATTTGTAAGCAGATGTCAATTTTGGTAGGTAATTTTAAATTATTATTTATGGTTATGCCTAGTCATTTAAATATTATCAAGTAATTTTTTAAAGTATAATATACGTTTGGCTTGCCACTTTTAAAACAGTTTTAGTCAGAGGCGAATACAGGAAGGGCGATTGCCTTCCATAGTTATTTTCATTTAAACTTGACCTAACTATTTTTTTTATTTTAAGGTGATGAAATTTTAGCTGTTAATAGTAAACCTCTTCATGGAGCGTCTCATCAAGAAGCGATTAGCGTTTTTAAGCAAATCAAATCCGGAGCTGTTCTTTTACATATTGGTCGTCGAGTTACCAAAAGGCCCAGAGAAAGGGTCTAAATTTAACGATACTTAAGAATATATTAAAAAACTATATAAATATAAAATATATATGTAAAGTAAAAGTGTCGCTATTTTAAATTGCATTTAATAAAATTGCTGCAATTTAAAATTCAGGCATTTTATATAAGCTTTCTGTATTCCAAAGACTATATCTTAGATTAGATATTTTAATATATGCCTATAGTTTCTTTTTTATACCTACGAATTTTAATATGTATTTTTAATTTTTATTTATATATAGATATATATGTATATATATGTGATGTACTATATTTTTGTTTTATTTAATTGTTTTAATTTAAAAAAATGTTTTCTCTCCCAAAGTAAATTATTTTTGATGTATATATTCAATATATAGTTTTATTGAACCTTAGGGTTGGCATCAAAAGTAATGCATCATAAAGTATCGCTCAGTGTCAAGGCTACTGGTATAGTCGACGCGGCGAATGTTTTCCGTTGCGTCGTCAATTTCAAATGTCAAAAACTGGTTTGTCGACATACGTCCGGCAAACATTTTCCTTAAAGAAACATTGCATTGCAATGAAAGAGATGACGTGAGGTTAAATAATAAAATTCTAGTATTAAATATATTAGTTTTTAATTAAAACTATGCAATTCATTAAGATATCGTGAAGTCTAGTATGAATTACATACAACAGACAAACAACATTTGACAAATAAACAAATGCTTCAACTGTTTCTACACATGTCTTGCTTCAAATTGAATACATTAGTTCCTATATTTTTCTATATATCCATAACTTACAATTAATTATTTGTTTTAATTGGAAGACTCAGTTTTAGTATAGTGTATAGTTTACGAAATTTTAAGTATAGTAATTTAATTATACTAAACCAATTTACAATGTATCAAACACACTATACTAACATTTCAAAAATTACGCACCCGTACCATTTTTTCATTTCAAACCATTCATTCTGTATATCATTACTAACAAAATACAAAAGTACCTTAGGCATGTATTATTAGAAAAATTATGCAAGTACTTTTTAAACATTAGATACATTATAAACATTTTATTATATCGTGGAAAATAATTTTTCTAATAATTTACATTAGTATATGTTACAAAAAATACACAAAGTCATACCGAAAGCGGGACTTTTTTTTTATTAATCAAATGCCTCAGCTTTACTTTTCTCGGCACTTGCTATACAGGGTGTCCAATAAGCTAGCTAAAATCGGGACCCTCAATCAAAGAATTATACTAGCACTAACTGAGATATCACAAGACATTTTTTAGGATTTTACAATATTAAATTTGTTTTTGACATTATTAATTATGGTTTTCAAATACTTTTGTAAGATGTAAAAAATGTGAAAAAGTGTGCAGAACTTCCGCATTTGCAAAGATCTGTTGCAACACTAATATTTAACCATATAAATATTAGTGTTGCAACAGATCTCTGGTTCTGCACACTTTTTCACATCTACTTATACCAGATGTTCCGCATTCTTTATATCGAAAGCTTATCAAAACTAAATATATGGGGCGCAAAATTATTAAATTCAACTTGCCTTTATTAAATTTTATATATTAAATAAATAAATTAAATTAAAAAGGATCTTTTTTATAGCACTTATACTTCCGCATCCGCTTTCGTTTCGCTTTCGCAAAATTTTTCTATCGACATCTGTAGGTATGTTAAAACATTTTGGCCTAAAAAGCTATGCTTTCCGTTTGAAACGGCAAAAAATTGGGTAAAAACACTTTTAAGAATGTCAACACCATAATTAAGAATTACGTCAAAAACACGTTTAAATGTTTAAAATGTTTCAATGATTCTTTCATATCAAAAAATAGGATTTTAGAATAATTAAAATGATTCTTTGCAGCTTAAACAAACACCCTGTATAAGTAATGTACAAGGAGATAATTTTAACGCTCTCAAAAAACTCGTAAGGTAAATAATGTGTAAATTGATTAAACGAAAGACTCATTAAAATATCACCCTGTAGATTTTAAAATAGAAATGTCAATTTCTATTTTAAAACAGTGTATTAGCTAAAGCTTGCTTACCCTATCTTCACATGTTCTGTTATTAGTTCGAAAAATTATTATTTATGACACAGAATCGATATATACAATAGTATTATTATTTTAATTATTCTAATCTAGAAACCTGTAGGTTGATATTCACAACAGAATGAACACAGCAGGTTAATAAAATTAACGTTTTTCTGCGTACATTTTGATTTTCATATTGTCACATAAAAAACATAACGAAAAAAGGGCGTTATTCGTAACCTGTTCAACGCAAATAAACACTAAACATTCAACAATGCATTTTTTAACTATTATTTAAGATATTACAACGTTTTATAGTTATATGTATAGAGCATGCGCTGTAGGAATTAAGACTAGTTAGCGCATGTGCAAAGAGCTGTTTTTGATTTTATTCATTGTGCAAAAACAAAATAATATCCTTTAGTTTAAAAGTAAACAATTTGTTTTGATCGTTGTTAATATACCATAGAATGAAGCAGGAAATTATCTTGTGATGACTAGATGTCTATATACAATTTTTTGATTTTTGTAGTAAAATCTAATGTTTTTAAGTTTTGTTGTTTTTTTTCATAAAATAACACATTTTGTATATACATTTTTCTAATGTTATGGTCTATTAACAATTTTTCAAATCGTACCCAACAAAAATTATTAACTAAATCTTATTGTCCTTGATTTATTAGATTCCTCAAGACATTTTGCGATTTTTCAAAAAATATATTTACATCTATTGAATTCTTTTTTTTTTTGAAAAACCATCTATTGACTACAATAAGATATGTACAAAATACACCCAAAAATTCATAAATTATATAAAAAATTTAACTATTTATTAAACTTCGTCATATTGGTTCTAATCTAAATATTGTTTAATTTGATATAATTCTTTTGAAGAAAATGAAGTATTGTAAATTTTTATAGAATTAAATACAGCCTTTAGGCATTATATTTATATTTATAATCACGATAAGATACGTAAAACACTATGCATTATACTCAGCATCAATACTGTTATGCTTAAGTACACCATAGTGGAGCCGCCACATAAATGAATCTCTGTTTCCTGAAAAACATATTGTTAAAAAGCTCACAGTACAGTTTCGCTAACTTACTTCAGGGTGGTAGTTGATACATTTTGGAGGACGCCTCCTATACAAATTCTCCTTCGTTTTCTGTAAACAATCAGTAGCTCCAGCATCATATACCAGCTCCTGGGGATCAATGCTGAGTTGCTTACTACCACACGGACAAGTTGTATCAACAACCAACAGTATCAAATTACTATGTGGTATTTTCTGAACGCTAAACGGCCTTAAATAACAAAAAAAAATTAACCATAACCATAACCAAGAAATATATTACCTCTCGCATCCTGTAACATGGCAATTCGTCAGTTTTCCCTTCAAAGGATTGCTTTGTCCGCTCGTGTTCAACCTCTCCGGTTGTAGGATATACAAATCGGTTTTTCTATCACACCTTCTGACTCCAAACTGCCCCATATCGACACCTTCAAGAGGATCAGACTCAAATGGGGGCACAAACGATGGGGAATATGAATTTGATGGCGGACTTATTATGGTGTCCGGATACTCAATCACATCTTCTCCGGTGGGGTATTGATCAAAAGGTGTTTCGTAGTACATATCGACCAAATCGCCCTCATCCTGTGCGTAAGCTATGGCAGTACCATACGCTTCCTTTAACTTCATCAAGAAGAAATACAGAAAACCCATCACAATTTTTAGTGGTTTGAACAAGCCAGCTCTAGGCGCGTTACCTCTGAAGTGCTGCTTGCTTCTAGAACACGAACCTTGATAATCGTATACAGCTATTTTCTTGTAAATCCTGTCCTGTACCAAGGAATCCATAATGGTACCATCGATTTGACCGAAAAATCTGCCTGTGTGATCGTTGTTTTCAGAAATTATTATAAATCCATTGTTGTCCAACACATAGCAGTCCAACTTATCGCTAGCGCAAGTATTCCTGCACACTGATGTTCCAGTACACTTGGAAGTAATGTTGTGAAAATGCGAAGCTAGCTTCGAATGTTGGTACTGCAAGCCGACAACTGCAGCTGGTGCTCTATGACCCTTGTGTTCAACAAACACGGCATGCGTGGCGGTAATAAGCGGCTTGCCGCTGGAACCAACATCAAAAGGTACGGAAAAAACGAAACTCTCAGGCTCTATGGAGTGCTGATCGACGGCTCTCTTATACCAGGTTTCATCCATCGCTCTAACATTATTTTCGCTAAAATGCCTACAAAAAACATTCAAGTTTTGTTATAGTTGCATAGTTGGTAAGTCCTTACGGTTCTTCGGCTTCAAAGTTGGTAACATTCGTCCATCTAAGCAGTCCTGATCTAGTTGCCACAAAGGACAACACCAATCCAAATATTTCGTATCCTTGGCTGCAAAATATAACGACTATAAGAACATGGTCACCATAGTTTTTTGTGTTAACTGAAATATTAATAAGTATTAGTACTGCTGTAATGCCAATGACCTCCTTGACCACTCTTGAGGGTTATTGTTAGGCAACCAAGTATACATGACATCCTTAATTGATTAACATTGGAAAAGCGCAGAGGAATTTAAAAAATGTAGGCCAATTTCTAGTTAGTTTTCCATAACATACACATTTATTCTTATTAAAAAAATCTAGGTATTATTTAAATTGAATAATTTAAAATGTTGAATACTAATATACCTAGATTTTTATGTCATCATACTTACATATTCCTCTTAGCATAAGTAAAAAAAAATCCTCTCACTCAAAAATTGGACATGTTCATTTCTTTATTTCTTTAACCCAAAAACGCAAACAAAACTGTTTTTGGGTGAAAAAACTAACCTCTAACTAAACAGTGTAACTAGAATTTTAATTCACGCATATTACCTTTGTAATTTTACCAAAAGTGTGCCTATAGGGCTATAGTGCAAAGAATAACAAAAAAAGTGATTAACAATTTTAATTTCGTGCATTTATTATTAGATTATATAATTATTAATATTATTTATAAGTATATTGTGGGCATGCTTCTTGTATAAACAATCTACTTACTGCTTGTCTTCCAGCCTTGATCTAAAAGGGTGTTTTTCAAGTCCTTCTGTAACCATAGCGTCCAATACTAAAGATTGCAATAAAGTTTTATCGCCTGAAACATGAATTAGTATTTTTTTCCAAAAACAATGCAGATACTTGAAAAAGGCCAACTTTGGTGATATGTTAAACAAATATTAGAAATATTCCCCAACACCAAAACAAAACACAAAGTGCTTAAAGTACTTTTCGCCAACGATGTTGGCATCTTTAGAAGCGAAGTGTAATTGAGTTACACTTCGCTTCTGAAGATGCCAACATCGTTGGCGAAAAGTACTTTAAGCACTTTGTGTTTTGTTTTGGTGTTGGCCCTTGCGGCCTTGAGTTCACGGTTTATTCACCGTGAATTCACGGTGAATTCACCGTAAACTCACCGTGAATAAACCGTCTGTTTGTGACATTTGTAAACGGTAGTTAGACGGTGAATTCACGCACTTTTCACAGTATTTTAATTGCGAATCCACCGTATTTTGGCGGTATATTCACAGTGAATTCACAGTGAATTCACGGTGAATAAACCGTGAACTAAAAGGCCGCAAGGGTAGGTATATCCTATAGGTTTAACACGACTATAGCTAGCCATTATTCGTTACTGAGCAGATGAGGATTAATGTTCAGCTATGCCATTACAGACGCACACTTCCAACTAAATATTGAAACCCAACGCTATTTATAGTTAGCTCGCTTGCGTAAGCAGCCGTGAGATGTATTGAGTTCACCGTGAATTTACCGTGAAATCACCGTGAATTAACCGTGAAATCACCGTGAATTTATCGCAAAAACAGCGTGAGTTCACCGTTTAATTACCGTCTACAAATGTCACAAATGGACGGTATATTCACTGCACATAAACGGTGTATTCACGGTGAATTCACGCAAACGGTGAATTCACGGTGAATTCACCGTAAACTCAAGGCCGCAAGGGGGGGAATATTCCTAATATTTGTTCAAAAACTATAGTAAAAGTCTTACAAAAATAGGCGTCCTTATCCTGTTTGGTGCTTAGATGGTGGTGCTCCCTTTGCAAAGGGGACCTCGGTCTCAAAGACATCCACTTCCACCCAGGCCTTCTACTTCTAGACAAAAAATGCAAAACCCTTTCTTCGGCAGTCTTAAACCACTGTTCCCCTGAGGTGCCGCTAGTGTATTCACAGTAAACCCAATCAGGGTGCACCTTCCAGTTTTCACCCTTGAAATAGTCGGTAACTGGAAAAAAATAATGTGGGTATTGGTTTTCAAAATGCCTACAAAATTTCTTACAGTTCTTTTGACTGCGTTTGATTTCCTGTTCGGCTAGAAGCTCGTACATGCCGTAACCTTCTGGCATTGCAAGACCAAGTGAGTAAGGGGTGCCTTCGATAGGGTTGTAGAAGTATTTGTGACGTCTTGTGGTTACGCGATGCTAAAAAACAATTGTTAAATATGATTTGAGTATGAGTGGAGCTATTAGGACTCACCATGTTATCGTAGTGAATTTTCACACTCAATTCTGTCTCTCCTTCCTTTTGGTCGATCATGTCATGTCTTAGCTACAAAAATAATCATATAATACAAATTTTTTATCATGTTAATAACTTACATCAAGAAGGATAGAATTGTTTGCTCTAGGGCCATTTTCATTCTCAACTAGCTCAACTTCAGTTAAATCCACAGAAACATATTGTGGTTCAAGAGTATCTTCATATAACTCATTACTCTGTTAAATAAATAGGTTAGTAATAGTTAATTATGTTTTAGTTAAGTACGTACCAATGGCCTTAGATCTGGATGATACAAAACATGTCCGTTATTCTCAACTACGAACGAGTAACCGTTGACACCAAGCTGAAATTAGTTTACATTTATTTAGTTTAAGGTCTGTTTTGGTACTAATTTTCTTACTTTGTAAGGAGGGACAAGTTTCTTAATTTGATCAATGGAAACATCTGTTCCAACAACACCCAAAACATTGGCAACTCTCACCTATAAAAATAAATACAGTTATAAGAAAAAATTAGTTTTAATTGTTTTTAACTTACAGAATGGTTTCTACGATCAAAAACTGGAGTTGTTACTGTTGTCATCAGCTGGCCGGCCTTATCGTTAGAAAAACTGTCAGCCTAAACAAATAAATAAGGTTTTGAATAATTATTAATCAAAAACTTTATTTACTTACTCGGCCACCAACATAAGCAGGCGTCCAATGTATGGGATGGTCGTTTTGGTACATAACCATAGGTCTGGCCATCACCTCAATATAATGCAAGACTTTTTCCTTAACCTCATCCACTTTATTGATCTTCGTATAAAACCCTGCAAATTTTTAAATATCATATAAACAATTCATCGTGTTTGAATTTAAAAAGTTTTACCTTTATTAGTACAGGCCATCCAGTGCATTTCACTGGCACTACTCGTATCCTTTCCTACCAAATAAGTAAATATTCTAACCGGACTGTGAGGAAAGTTGTACATTTTAATAATGTCTTTGTACGAAGACGCCAGGCCATCTGTGATCAACATTATGGCCTGATTGCATTGACAACCTTGACTTGTACGATTATACTGAAAGAAACTTTGTATAAGAATGTTTATTTTAGAATTTGACAATTCTACCTTGTGCAATATTTCGAATCCTGTAATAAGTGCCGACGAAAAATTGGCAATATTTTCAGCCTTCAGATTGTCTAAGGAATCCTTCAGCCATCTAACATTCTCGTTATTAGCCTGAAAATTACATCATTAACAAAAAATAAGAAAGCAGAACAAAATAAAGTACCTGTACTAATTTATCCTTAAAGCAAGGTACAGTCTCCTCGGTTGTGTCCGAAAACTTATAAACATTCACAAAATCGTTATCGGACATTGTGTCAAGAATTGCTTCGACAGTAGCTCTTGCTAAGGTTACTCTTTTGCCGGTCATAGACCCCGAATTGTCGATAAGAATGACAATATCCTTCGGGGAAGTTGCAGCGTTTACATACCAAGATGACGATCTAAAGTCATAAATATTCCTGTTTGTTCTTGGTCGTTGCCATACCGTAGAGATGTCCTCTGGAGGCCAAGCAATTCCTAAAATATTGCTCTTAGATTTTTCTTAACAACAGTTGACAATTACAAGTACCTGGATATCTACGCAAAAATCCTTGGGAACTTCCAAAGAATTGCCAGGACAATGTCGGATCTCCTTCATAGTTATTAATGAATAACGGATCTAGATGTTCTGACCATTGAATTGCATTCATCACATCCAAATCTAGGTATCAAAATCATATTGTTATTAAAGAATTAAAGGTTTACTTTTTAAAATGCAATTATTAGTGTTTCTAAATCTAAATCAAATTATCTTATAACTCTCACAACTTATCACCGATTTCAATAAAATTTTCAAGGTTTGCTAAATTGACCATGTTCTTTCAGATGCAATTATCACTTTGCCTAAATTTTCAAAATATTACCTTCTTCATCGATGTTGGAAGGTATTAGTACTGAGCTAAGGCTAGTGTTTACTGGTAGGTGATCGAAGTGCGGGTTCGGTGTGATCATCATTTCTCTGGTGCCTTCGGCAGGTTTTCCATCTGGTCCGAAAGCGTTCAGTCTTTTGGCGTTATAGTAACGAAATGGCTGGCCGTTGTCAGATTGTGGAGTAAGAGCGGCCTGTTCGGCGGAATCCATTATCCGCTAAAACCACACAAAGTCGATAAAAAACTATTTCATATTAACCCTCCTAAATTGCTTGGTTATATTTTGTGACCCGAAGCCATTACGGTAATAACCCCCTACGAATTTGTGTGTTAAAAGAAAAATTATAATACATAGCGTTTAGATAAAATCGACTTGATGTTTTTTCAGGTCACCATTGATTTTAATTTATTACTTTAACTTCTCAGTCCTCAGCAAAATTATTGGGATTTTTATTTACAAGATACTTATTTTCTGCTTACCATTACAGCCCCCATCTTAAAGTCCATCATGTTCTTCACTTCAGTCGCCATTTCCCTAATTAATATCAGTCCATCTTTTCTTACAACATCTATATCCACATCATGATATTTCTAAAAACAATTATTTATTTATTTTGGACATATCTTATAAAAACTTTAAGCAAACATTTCAAATATTTTTGGTAGACCGTTTTAAAAACTTCTCTGTAAAATACCCAACTTAATTAATGATTCTGACGAGGGTTTAAATAATAATTCATATTTCCTAGGATTTAAATATATTAATTACAAATTATAACAAGGAAGCTAGCAATCCGATAAAAATTATCATAATTTACGGCTGAATGAAGTTTAAAAAGTGAAATGGGATGCTTAAAAGAGTATTATATCTGCCGACATACGTTGGATTGTTTTACATAACTTTCCCTTTTCAACCTGCCCTAAGGCTGAATATTTTTTAAGGTTAGGCTGTGACTAATTAAAGATAGAAAGTAATATTAAAAACTGACGAACATTGGTTTTTTTATTTTAGCTTAAAATTCAGCTTTTGAGACAAAACGCACCAAACCTGCCACCTATCTGCCTCGACATCAGCGATTTTAACCAAACTGGGAACAGTTGTATTTATTAAAAAAATTAAAACAACAAGAATTAACACGTTTTGCTTTTTGTGTCATAAATAATAGGTGTAAAAAGTTTTTATGCAAAAAATACTTTACTTTGGAATTTAATTAAATCTAAAACTCATAATGTGCCACCGATTAAATGTCGTTGGAAAACTTTTTCCAATATCTGGAACAAAAATAAAATGCGAACTGTAATATTGGCGGAGAATGTCCAGATTGTGTTTTTGCATAGTAGAAAAGACAACGACGCATTGGAGAATAGTTTCAAAATCAATAAATAAGCCAGAAGTTTTCCGAATGAAAAAACAAACAAATTTCATTCCAATCCGCTGTCCAAGAGAAAACAAATATACACGAAAAAAATGTTTTCTAAATGTAAGAATGCCTTTATTCTTAAAAAAAATCACTTGATTTAAGTATAATTTGCTTAGGCTACGAATACATTATATTTCTTTTAAATTAAATTAAACCTATCCTTAAATTAAAAAGATTTTATTTCTTAGCTTAAAAAAGTAAAGTTGAAACAAGATGATTGACCTAATATTTTCAACGCTAAAACTAACATTAAACTAAATATTAATATTTCTTTAAACAAGCAGATCTTATTCTTGCCTGTTAAATGTTAAAAAAGACTCAAATAATGTTATTCTTAATTTAAGATTACCAATCGATTAGACCAAATTTTGGAAAATTCCCTCTATTCTGTTCTTAAAGATACCTATAAAACTATACTGGATATAAATATAATTATATTTATTCCAAGATTAGTAAATATTGGTACGACTGGCCTATTCTTAAAAATATCCCCCACTCACGAAAGTGTTCGACATTTTGGAAGATTGTTTCTTGGCCAATATAGCCAAAAAATGTCCGTCTCGCAAACAAAATCAACGTGTCTGAAGGTTATATAATTTATATTGCAATGATTTTTTCAAACCTGTCTTTATTACATAACTTTTTTACAATGTTTGAAATACCTTTCAAACATTGTAAAAAAGTTATGTAATAAAGACAATGCTATAGACCAATATCATTTTTTTTCAGTTTAGGTTAAGCAATAATTGTTTCAAATATTGTCTTTTCTTTTTTTAACTTTTGCTCGAAGTAAAGATTAGGATATAATGACCATGTTTATTTTAATAGGTAAAGAGTGGATTATCCTATCTATTTTGCTCTATCAGTATCAGAGATAAGAGATAGCATAATCCACTCTTTACCTTTTGAAATAAACATGGTCATTATTTACTAACCTTTATTTAGCAAAAGTTAAAAAATGAATAGACAATATTTAAAACAATTATTGCTTATCTTACATAAATATACCTTATATTTAATCCAAAAGTAAATATTATATCTCCAAGAATTATAACATTTGTATCAAAAAATACTTATTTTTAAATCAAGCATAGTGTATATTTTATTTGAGCGTGCTTGCATTTAAAATAATATGATAGTTTTTCTTGAAATAAGAATAAGTTTACCCTTACACCTAACATTGAAATTATATCCAAATAAGTATAGGTTAGTTCTTGCATTCCACTCTCTATATCTTTCAAATAAGTATTAATTTAAACTACAAATAAGAATAAATCGATCCTTAAATAAAAAGTATCTATACTTGCGGAATGGTGAGATGATTAATCTTTAATATAGAATAGCTTTTTTCCGTGTAATACTTTCTTTGAATAAAATTGTGTCGCTTACGATTTTTTAACTTACCCTTTGCAATTCATTCATTCGCGTCATCATTTTGCCGTATTCCCATAAATCGACACCGAACTGCAATGCCCAGTTTTTGACTCTGCAAAAAAATACATATTATAAACCAATACATGTACATGTACAAAAATGACGGATTTTCTTTAAAGGATTTAAATGGAGATAATTGAAAACGAAAACTTTATGTTAAAACATTTGTTGGACGATACCATGAAGCTGCTTCCGTGTTTAGTTCATTTGTTTAACACAATGCCTGACAACAAGACGATTTGTTCATTGTTTTACTTTGGGTAATCTAGAACTTCTATTCAATAATATCTGCTAAAATTAAGTTGCATTTTTTAATGAAATTGTTTATTACAAAAAAAACATTTTATACGACTGATTGAAGAGTTGTTTTATTAACCTTCACATAACAAGATGGACAATTATAGATGTGAAAGTGTAAATTTTAAGTCCGCTTAAATTGTGAACTAAGAAGCGGAAACATATTAAATTAATATAGATAATGATAAGCTTCCTGGAGAAAGGGTTCAATAACTATAATGAACGTAGGCGCAAACGTTCATACAATTATATCAATTGATTAAGCCTATCATAACTATTTTATTAATTGTTTTCAGCACCAACGATATCCAACTGATCTGATTCTGGAAGTGACCGTCAGAAAAATGAACGTCCTGATAATTTGTAAAATTGTGTGATAAAAAAATAGTGTGGTCAGAAAGGGGATGTAACATCATGTCGAAAATGATCTACAACAAATTAGATAAGTTTAAAACTTTGTTGATAGCATGGTGTTGGGAAGTTTGGTTCGAGAGTGAGGGAGAGCGCTATTGAACAATTCCCTGATTTTTTTATCTATCGTTTATATTAGCTATCATTTGAAATTTAAAACTTTTGCAATATCTGGAACTAAAAGATCGAACACCGGGAATTTTCTAAATAGCTTAATGGAAATTCAATGTAAGAATATGGGTCATGGATATTCTATTTCACACTTCGTATGGGTTATTTAAAAAAAACATTTCGTCCTTTTTTGTTACTCTTCGTATAGTGAGGATAATTTGAAGGATTGTACTTAAGCTGACGTTTCTCAAGAAGTGCAATCGCAGTAAGATGCTGTAAAAATGTTACAAGCATGTCGGATTCAAGCATTGCATTTTTGCCAAGCTTGTAAACCTAAAGTACCTACTCGGGACATAGCGAGATTATCTGCTGAACAAATATGTTAACATCTTTTATTTATCTAAAAAATGGTATTTTTAGAATTTTATAATATTTTTTACTATACCTTTTTAGTTTCCTAAAATTGACGTTATAATTTAGATCGATTTTTATATTGAAAAAGGTCCATGGTGAATTGCATTTTTTTCCAATATAGCTCACAAGTGTATAGGGATTTGCCTCTTTCTGTCCATTAACGGTTTTTACGAGCATTGATGAAAAAATTCAGAGCGGAATAAATCGTAATGAAAAAAATGTCATACAAGTTTAAGGAAGGACCATCCTGCATGCATCTCGACATTTCATACGAAACCATTAGTACCATTTTTAATTGATTTGGAGATGAGTTTCTTATTCGTTTTGATTTAATTAAACTCAAAAAACAAAATTCGCTGAATGGTTATACTTTTTTGTCAATTATCGGAAAACATTATGTTCATTGATATAAAACATAGTATTTTCATTTTTTTCATTTAACGGGGAACACAAAACTCTGTTTATGTGCATTGATATTATTAAATTAACTATAGGTTGGAGTAAGAAACAGCGTCCGGGGTCAAAACGCTACCGGCAAGGGGTATGTTATGTTGAGGAGCGGTGAGTATATTGATCTGCCCCCACCCCTTAGGCGGCAGCAGGCAAACCGCCTTCCCCCCTTGCTAGTTTAGCCGCCCCTCTTTAGTCTGGAGAGACTCAGACATTCGCGTTCTTCTTGTCTCCTTTTATGCCCCTCCAATGTAGCACACTGATTCAATTTGCAATTCTGGCCATGGGTTTTTAATGAACAACTTAAAACTGCATCAATAATATTTTCGATGAAATGGCCTCCTCGCTACACAGACCTCAGTGTGAGCGATTTTTTTCTATGGAGGATGTCAATACCATAGTCTGAGATGGGTGCTTAAAGATCAGAATTGAAGATGATAATAATATAAATAAATAGCACCAATAGAGTTGTTATCTAGATTCCTGTGCCTTGTGTCTGTTTTAATTAACAATTTATGTTTATTTTATTCATAATTGCAATTTTAGTTACTTTAAAAGTAATCCTTTTTAAAAATACAAAATCTAAATAACATTTTCTACTTCTATATTTTATTTATTAAATATGTTTTTTCTATTTGCGTATCATAACCCATACATCACAATATGTCCAGTGGACGTCAAATGGACTTACATTGGACGTTTGGATGTACAATGGCCGTCCGCTGGACGTCCAATGGATATTTGTGCTGTGTGGGAATAAGCAACATTGCAATACGCTAATTTGACAACACGTCAAGTTATTATTATTGAAATGAATAATGTTTTACAACTCAAATGAACATTTATTTTTATTGTGAAATTTTTTAACAATACTGCAGCTTATAATTCTGTGATGAATTATTGCGTTAAAAATTAAAATGCAGAATCGCAATATAAATTATTATTTTTTAAATTTTGGCAAATAGATTAAAAAGTAATAGTATTAACCCTGTCATAAATCTATAATTAAACAATATCATAGGTAATATCGTAGTAAATCAATTTGATGTATAATAGAACGTCAATTTAGGAATAATGTTTATTTAGAGCAATAATTAATTAATTAATTAACATTCTCATGTCCCTCACCTAACCCATTACCTGGCTTATTGGTGAGTCAGTTTAACTAACAATTTGCCAGAAGCAAAATATTAATTGTACCGTTTTAATACAATCTACAAGGGTTAAAATATGTCTGCTGTGTTTTCTCAATAAATCCTTATTTTGAGGGTCACAATATGTGCTCCTCAAATAAAAAAAAACATTTGTTTATAATGGCACACGTATTGATTCCAAAAAAGCTTGGCCACAGAATTTAATCAAGCTTTTTGGGTTTGAGTTACTCGCTTAGTAGTAATAGGTGTATGTAAAAAAGGATTAAATCGTTAGTGGTATATAACGGCTTCAAGAATTTATAGGTGTTTGCAAATGATTAAGTGGGTTATGTTTTTGAAGCATTTAAATCAAGGCCTTTTAATAAACAGTTTATTAGGGTTACTAATCTTCTACTCTGGATCCACCTGACTTTATGATGTTTTTCAATGTAATCTGCACATACTAAGGTCTGGATTTCGTGGAGGCCATTTAAAGGCGTTTGGACAAGTTTCAAGAGTTGAAGATGAAATAAGGAGAGATGTATGACGTGATTTTGGTTATTATTGGTATCAAAGATTCAAAAATGTATATTAATATTCTTAAATAGGTTTTCTTACAATCAAAATTTGATTTTGGGATTCAAAAATGTTTTCTTGAATATTTTGAATGTTTTATTTTGGTAGAACATAAAATTGGTCGTGTATTTTTGTGTTTTGCATGTAATTTATGTTATATAAGGTTAGAGAGGTGACTTACTCGTTATGGGGAATATCTTCATCTTGCTCTAAATAAGCCGGCAAAACGTTGATGAGAAGAAGGAATAGGATTGCAAATCTTCTTGATGTTCTCGATATGAACACGTTTTTAAAAACACACACCATTATAAGATAAATATACACTACTGACTGTTTGATGATGAAAAATACTGTGAGAGTCAAAAATTACATGTTTCGTTTTACTCTTGCTCAAATAAAAAACACGGAGCGATACGTAAGTATAAATTGGATATGAGCATGATATGCATAGAAAATAATTATTACACTGTTTATCACTAATTTCACATGGTATAATCGAATTAAAATCCAATGGGAACGTTTTTGAGTTCAACCGGCTACGTTTTCGCTCTCTGTAGTACACACCCCGGAGTCGCTCTAATCTATTAGGGGTGACGCACAGTGCGCACGCGCTACCCCTTACTGCCTTATTTCTAACTCCAATCTACTACAGGGTAGCGTATTGATATTTTCCTCGGCATAGTGCCGAACGCTTTACTACTATTTTCAATTTTCAAAACTACTCATTATTTACGTAATTATCGCAATGTACGCGCTTGAATTTAAATTTAGAAACAGTTGAACGCACAATCCCATGAAAAACAGCATGTTATAAAAACCGAAGTTTTACATATTCACTATAAGACAATTATCGTACCCGCAAACTTTTTTTAAAATTTAAAGAGTGTCAAGACAAACATTTAGAATGGTATAAACTAATAATAAAACTTTGGTGGCATTTTATAAAATGTTTGAACATTTTGGACACTGACAAAGTTAATTTAAAGTCTTAAAATACTTTTCGGAATTTTTATTAATGTTCCCCGTCACTTTCAAATTTAATTTCAAGTTTCAATTGATAGGATTTATTATTTTCTGTTGGTGGATTTTCTTACTGATCAGAGTGCTATATTTAGAAAAATGATACAATTTAACCAACAATGTAAATCAAATAATAACTATTTTTGCAATAATTGTGCACAATAAGCTAAGTAATAGGCAATTTTATGGTAGTTACCTCAAAAACGAAATTTGAAAGTTTTATGCGTTTAATACTAAAATGCTTCACTAAATTTAATAAAAATATTTGTTTCCTACTATAATCAATTTGATGCATTTTTACGAGTTGAAAACTTATATATATTTTTATAGTCTAATGGACAAAGAGGACGCGATACACTTTATATCTAATAATACTTGTAAAATGTTTAAAAAGTTACACATGTTCGTACCTACACGTAAGTGGACGATAAAATGTGAAACAAAATACCTGGTAAAAGTTGTTTCTACTTTTTTGAATCAATACCATCGATATTTAAGGATTAATTGTCGATGACCATTTCTTTCTTATAATTAAATTAATAGTTAAAATTGTTTAAAAAAAATTTCACAGTAAAATTTTGAAAAATTTATAATTTATAATTTTTTATTATAAAATTGTTTTTGGCATTTTATATGTTTTTGACGCTATTAAATATGTCTAAACATTCTAAAATAGGTTTTTGGCAAATTAAAATGTTTTTGACATTCTTAAATATGGTTTGACATTCTTAAATTTATTTTCTTATAAACTTTTTTTGTCATACCCACATAACAAAATAGGTTTTTGGCAATAAACAATATTTTAGCATAAAAGAGTATTTATTCCTTGAAGAAAAAAGTTCTTAGTAGAAGAAGTATAGTTTTCTTGAAAAAAAAATACAAAATCTCTTTCAACCAAGTGCAAAGTATTTTTGTTCAAAAGCTATGAAAATTGTTTATATTTACGCAATTCATTCAAGATACATCACAATTATCCCAATAGCATGTCAATTTTACATTAAAATCTGGTAGCTTCTGATACATGGAAGGGGATGCAAAATGCGCACACCGTTTGCGGCACACGTGTTTAGTACGTTTTGTATCATTGCAACTTGCAATTCGCAATTTTTTAGGGGCAGTGATATAATATTATAATTCAATTATAGGTTTTATATACATTTTGCCGGTTGTGTTGTGTTGTATGCACTTTCACGATGGAGTTGGAATCATTAAAACTCTTTTTAAATAAATGAAATTTATTAATTTGTTTAATGTTTTTGAAGGTAAGGTATCAATTAAAATATGTAATAAAAATTTTATGTTAAATCAAATTTATGTTAGTTTGTTGATGTCAGTATAAAAAAACTTGCATTTTTGTTGATATCAAACAATAAAATTTAATGTCTTTTTTGTAAACCTTTTTTTCAGTCAATCTTCTAGTTTTCAACGATGCCAATATTTAGGCTTGAACTCCCCTCACTACGAAGGTCCTTGATTTTACAAAAAAAGCTCTTTTAGTTCCACCCTTACTTCTTAAGAAGTCTCATAAGCCAACTAAATGGCTTGTGCGGGTTAGGGGTAGGAACGGACCGCGGGCTTAAAGTCCCCTCCGAAGGACTTTAATTGTTAAATGCATGTTTTAATAATTAAAATCAAAAGGTGGTGAGGGGAATTTAAGCTTAAATATTAATAACGCTGGTAGTTTCAGTGAAGATCAGAAGCTTTTGAAAAAAGCAATACATACTATTGGACCAAGAGATATTTGCCCTAAAATCAAAATAAAATGTTAGGAAAATAGTATATGCTTTTGTAGCAAGACAAATTTTCTTTCTTAGAAAGATCCTTAGCTTTTTAATCAAAAGATGCATTTTTTTGTTAAAATCCCATTTTTTGCGCTAAAAAATGTTTTTTTTCTTTTAAATATCTTATTTTTGTTTCTTGTTCCAAGAAATCGCTTGCTCTTGAATTAAGCTAATATTGTAATATCCTTAAACGAATAGATAAATCTCTCCCCTCAAGTAATTTAAAAAAAAATATGTAAAGATAGTTTCTGATTTAGGTTAAGAAACATAGCTCTTGGCCCTATTCAAAAGCGCAAATCTTTTAAATCAAAGTGATTTTCATTTCTTTTAAGAGATTATTTTTTACGTGTATTTAAAATTTGTTTGACATATTACAAAGTGTTTTTATAATTCTAGATTTGTCATACTATTGTGTTTTTAGCTACAATATGTTTGTTTTCAGAGACCCTCGGGCAAAGAAAAAGACAAACGAAAACACGGATACGGAAATCGGATTTGTAGTAGTACAAAAAGCAATATTAACTTTTATGTTTGTTTAGTTTTCCATTTTTAAACTTGGTCAGGGCGTAAAAAGGTGCTAAGTGGTGTTATAGCGAGATTAGCAGGTACATTCTAACGCACATTCCTCTTGCCTATGATAGTGCATGGTCTTTTTGTGATCCCCTCTTTGGAATCAACGATGAAGAGTAGAGAGTGAATACCGCTAGTTGAGTAGACTTTAGTCAGTCGGTCTGCAGTACCAGAACCCGTGGACGCGCGCAGTGCTACCAAATTAAAACCGAAAACAAAACAACAACAAAAATGAGAATTCTGTAGTGTTGTGGGTGTATTTAGTGCGTACTGGTAAAAAGGGAGTTACGGTCTGCTAAAAGAGGAAGTATTCTTTATGGATAGTTAGCTGGTCTTTTGATGCAATGCCATATTAAACAACTCATTAACTATTTTAAGGTAACTTACCAATTTTTACACAGCAGTGAAAGTACCTTCAGTAGGTACTTCCTCTCAAAACGGAACCAATAAAATTATTTATGTAACATATTTTCAAGTACTCACTTTCTATTCAAATTTATTGTTGTTGACATTAAAGGGTTAAGAAACTGTACGAAGTCATTAAGGAAATATAATTATAATTAATCAAATTATTTATAATTGGGCACCTGTATGGTTTGTTAAATAGGAACTTTTATTTAATGCGCGCACAACTTTGCCTAATTTTATTTTAGTATTGTCCTAAATTTTTTTAGTTCGTAATCACTCTATACGGGGTACCTCAAAAATCAATATTCATATGTATATATGTTTAGCAACAATAAAAATAATTTGTTTTGTTGAAGAAATTATAAACTGACTGTTTGTATGTAATCTATATAATTACCATCAGACCTAAAGGGCTACAATTTGGACAGTGCATTTATACAATAACATAAGAAAGTATTGTTTGAAATTTTATTCCTAAAGGGGTAAATTGCGACAGTCCAAAATTATGTTTTAATCCCGGCGCATTCGCCATTTTTGAATTATTTAACGGCTGAACGGATTTTAATGGGATTTGGAACTGGAATGGGGAGGAAACGGGACAAGTTTTGACTTTTTTTACTTTTCTTGATTTTTTTGAGTGTGTAATAGTTACGACAAACACAAAGCCAATTTTATTTGTTAAACATTTGACATCTGACAACTGTCGAACGAATTTAACCTCGCTTCTTCCAAATTCATAATAAACCCGTGAATAAAAAGCCCTAAAGCCACTGTTGCCAACTTTAACCCGTGACTAAAACGCCATTAAGGCACAGCTTGTCAAAGTGGGAGTGGACAGGAATCGTAATCTGATAATAGCAAATAAATATAACATAAAAAAGGATAAAATACAAACAAAAAAAACCTTTCACAATTTAGGTACTAATAATGACAATATAATTTGAAATTTAAATCTAGGATTTTTGTAAAAAAAAAACGTATGACATTTTTTAATCTATTAATATGCTTAAAATGCTAATTACAAAAAAATCGTATAAACCGCAAAAGGCTAATTTTCAAGTTGTTCGAGCTCGGCGGTATACGGTACTTTAAAATAAGATAAAAGCAAAATGAACAACAAATTATTTGTTAGTTCAGCTTAGTGGAAACGTAACTGTAAAGTCTTAAGAGTAAAACATTATTGAATATTTACATTCTTCTTATTTAATAATTAACGCCCAACCTACTATTTAATCAACTTTGTTATACTAATTTTTACTATCTGAATAGTTTTTGGTCGTTTTAGTAATTTTCACATATTTTGTAAAAAATTAGTCACCAATGCATTAGCATAAATCATTCAAATTAAAAATCTAAAAGTAAAATGAATGGATTAAACTACAACAACTATCTAAAAAGACAAAATTAAAATTAATTAACAAAAAAGTTTATACTTAATTATAATTTTAGAAACTGACAGTAAAAAACATATGCTTGATAGGCAAAGTAAGCTAATTAAGTTTGTCTGGGCAAAATATATTTCCCGCAATTTCTAAAAATTTAAATTCAAGAGGGATGACCAAAAGTATATGCAAATATATGGAGAAATTTGACAAAGTCTAAAAAAAATGTTTGTGGTATTAATTTTAGTGCCTTGATGACACAAATAATTGTGTAAATAACCACTTAGCACCATCTTAATAATCATGGAAACTTTGAATAAATAACTAAAATTATCCATTTAAATTCAAACCAACATTTTTATCTCTAAGGATCCTATTGAGAAACTCCGTTAGGTACATCTATTAAATTAAAATTATGTTTTAGCCATTTTAATGGCATAGGTAAAATCCTAGGCACAATAGTAGGATGTTATGTTAAAGATCTTTACACGCACTAATAAATAAAAACAAATCAACAATTTAAAAACGATAGTTTTTTATTTTTATTTGCCAATACAATATTTTTTATTATTCCTCCATGTCCACTTAGATCAAGGAAATTGGGACAAATAATTGTATTTATACCAAATATGCCAGTTTTAGTCTAAAATTGGGTACATTTTTATCCCTTTGTGTCAACATTTTTAATTTAAACTTTTTTAACACCCAACTCCATTTTAAATAACAGAATTTTTAACGGTGTTTTATTCATTAAAATTAAACATATGTTTAAATGTAAATAAAAGTACTGCAATTTTTATAGAAATAAATTATTGTATTATTTATTAATTAATTAACAAAAAGATAGTATAATTTATACCGTGCATTATCTTTTTGATTGTACACATCAACATTTTAATGGCTTCCTTATATATATAATATTAACAAGCTAAAAACTAGTTTTTATACAGGGAGTTTTTAAAAAAAGTGAAATTAAATAGTGGCCAAACCTTAAAATTAACTTTTACAATTCCACGAGATGTAGCCTGAGGTAATACTACAATGAATATGTTACTCATTTTCAATAGGAGAAGAAAGTCCACAGACTGAGATAAGTTTCTCTTGACGAATTTTTTTATTTGACAATAAATACGTGTAAACAGAAAGGCTTTTTTCATTATTTTAATGAGAAAACATTAAACGTTAAGATGGACCTCTTTAGGAGTGAATTGCGTGTAAATGAACTTTCACAGGTCTCTGAAGAAAACAATTTTATGTGACAGAAAATCTATATTAAGTAATCCAATTAAATATTTACAAATTAAACAATTAAAAGAACAATCAAGCATAAAACAAACGTACATTTGCTTTCATGTGAATTAAGGTAATATTGTTTAAATTAGAAGAAATAAAATAAAAACTAATAATATAATTATTGCAGGTACACACAGTATGTTTGTGTTTGTATTGTAAACATAGTATATGGTAATCATGAGTAAATTAAATTTAAATGTGTAAACAATTATGTATGTCAACGTTTTCCTACATAAATTATTTTCATTAGAAATTTACTTTTTAGTATTTTAGTCAGACGTGAAAAATATAAATAATATAATGATGAACAAAAATACTGATTTAACCTATTTAAGGAATCCGCACAAAAAGTATGAACAATAAATTGGTTGATGTGTACTTGCGCACAACGTTCAAATTGGAAAACAAAATTGCCTTCAACTGCTATATACGGCTAATGAATACACTTTCCAGAACGCTGAGATCACAATAAAATTTAAATCCCGCTTGACAACTATCATCTTCCATAGTCCAAGAATTTTTTAAACCCCATCAAAATTTTTTATTCAACTTTTAATCAGGTTTTTAAAGTTCATTTAAAGTAAAATTTCTGTGTTTAAATTATTTCACACAGTTTATAATGGATTAAAAAGTTTAAATCTGTTAACGCATGGAATTTCTTACACATACACAATATTTAATTTATTGTTAATTGAATGAATTAACATTAATATTTACTATGGTATTTTGATTTAATAATAAATAATAATATAATATTTTGTGCTGGATATTAATAAACTTTTCACTTCCTAATGTTAATGACTATGTGGCGTTTCTTTAAATGTACTTTTAATTTATTTCGACAACGCTTGTCGGCATTTAGTGGACTCCACGTCTAACTCGCAGCAGAGCAGCAACAGCAGCCCAGCAGATAAGACCTGAAGATGGTACATAAGATTGTACCGAAACGGTTGCATAGTGTGTACCGATCGCGGCAAAGGCGGTGTGGATCACGTGATGTTCTTAAATCTCGCCTCTGTTGACTTACATAAAGAGTATATTAGCTTAGGAAGTCCTTTGCTTTGGTGTGACACTACAAGTTGTTCGATACTAAAGAGACCTTAAATAGGTGGAAACAGCTGTCAATACTTGAAGTATTTTAAGTTAGTGGAACGCACTAAAAACATTATCTCTAGAGAGTTGAAGGTTCAATTTTCTGGAATAATACCACTGGTAATATACTAGTAATGCGTCAAGGAACTTCCTGTTTCCTTTTTTTTCCTTTTTTCTGTGTAGTATGATATAATTTTACCAAAAACACATAATATTTAACACTGAAAAGGAGTTCATATATATAATAGAATTATTCTTGTTAAAATCAAATCTATGCTGCATGATATTAATTAATATTTCTGCCTACATACCGTAATTTATAAATATTTATATACGCTATATAATTTTTCGTCCTACATTAATTATTGTTTTTATGTATAGTAAACAAGTTTTTCCTTATCTAGATTTTATATAATCCTATTAATAAAGTAATAATTTAGAAATGCGGAATTAGGTCTTTCTTTATTTTGTTGTTTTCCATCTTTTTCGTACTGAATTTGTTGAAAATAAACTTAATGAGCATATCCAAAAGTATAAATAATGCAACTTGAGTCAAGGCTGCTTCAAATGTCAACCAACATTCCATAAACTCTTGAACAAAAAATTAAAACTAAAAAAAAATTGCCTAAGAAATCTTTAAGCTGATATTTTTACTTAGGCAACATTTTTTTTATTTTAAGACTCCCTTAAACATGTCTAAAGTGACAATTAAGATATAAAAGAGTAAATGTAGCAATCCTAGTGTAATTTTTTCTCATAATTTGCAAAGTTCGCACACATCCAAACAATGGAAATAAAAAATAATCATAGTAAATTTCTCAGTCTAATATATTTTTCAATTGTTTTTGTTGTTCTAGTGAAAGTTAAAATTAATAATTTTGTTTATTAGATAATACAATATTATCCTATCGTAAACATTGAACTCGTTAGCAGTTTAGACAAAAACACAGAATTTTTATTGTTCGATATTCTTAAGGATGTACATCGTAAATTTTATTTATATGCTTTTGACTCGTTTATTGCATTATACCTGTTTTATAGCAAGTTATTAAACCGCGTTAATACACCCACAGTTAAAACGTGTTTTTTTCTTTCAGAATATGTCGCTACCTGGGCAAAATAATTATGGGAAATATAGGTAGCCAATCAGGAAATATAAGTCCAAAAAATGTTCTGGAAGAACAATGGGCTCACTCGTTTCCGCGAACACAGCCCAGGCTCCAGCAACATAAAGTCCTGCCTGAAAGGGACTCCAGGCAAAAACTAAGGCATACCAACAATGGAGAAATATTGCAAAGTGGGGGGACGATAAGCGGAAGACCCAATTTTAATAGGTCTTTGTCCATGATAGATAGCAGACATGTAAGTTTGATGAATAAGATATATTAATTGATAGCAATGTTATTTTCTCTTTAGGACGAAGCCAACTCCAGAAGGCAAGATGAATATACTTCCCCTTCGAGAATGTACAAGTCAAATCAAAGGGATCCTTTGCATAAGTCTGGAAATAAATATACCAACCTTCAAAATAGGCATCAGGCTCAAAACACCAACCATGAAAAGGTAACTATGTGGTTAAATGACAAGTTAAAACGAGAACAAGCTATAAAAAGACGACAAATTTAAACTATATATATTTTTAGATGAAGCGTTTTGGGTCTGAACCTGATCTACGTTACTCCACACACGTGACACCCCAAGGTCAAGAGATGCAGGAACGGTCGCGAGCAAAGAAGAAATACAAGGCACCCGCTCCACCAAACCCTAGAAAAGTACCCAACCCTAAAACAACAAGTTAAGTTATTTTAACATTATTTCTTTTAGGTTGAAATGGAATGGGACGATCATTTACGAAAGCAACGCCTATTCAAAACGCAAGCAGAAACGAAAAACTCACATTCTAGTCCTGTAAATAAGCAATTAAGAGAAGTGAAATTAAATGATGAAATTCAAGCGGACCTGCGTTCAAACAGATTATCCCTCCCTGAGACTAAAATGCCCAGCACTGTGGAATTTCAGGAGGAATTGAAAGAAGCCACCAAACGCTTAAGATACTCCAGACAAGAGGATAACAGTAACAAATTGAAAACATTAGATCCCAGCATACATGATAAAGAGTTTAGAAGAAAGCTACGTGAAATGCAAGAAGACAACTTAACCAGGGATGAACCGTCGGGTAAAGAATGTTCATCGGAGGAGAAATCGCCGATTCCCAAACCTAAAGAGCAACCGAAAACCTTCTATTTCGGCATGGATCAACCAGCAAACCAAATGGAGTATCAGAACGATATAATCGAACACTTTACATCGAAGTTACATCCAAACAAAAAAATATCCACCACAAGCGAAAGCGATTTATCAAGTGAGCCCGAAATGGATGACTGCCAAATATCCAAAGCAGGAATTGACTTGCAATTACGTCCAATGTTACCTAAGAAACAACTGGAAATACCGCGATTTTCACCGGCAGCGGCGTGGAAGTTGTTATCCACCATTGATACGAATGATCCCGCTACTAGCACTATAGCTAGTGATGATTCTCCGGTTTTTATAGAGGATAGAATTGAGAAATACTCAAGACCTCCACCACCCACAGTCCAATTAGGGCCCAGATCCAGCAATGACAAATCTGGAGATTCAGGGATATCAGGAGATGCACCTGGCGGGTTTGAAGATTCGCAAGAAAATCTACTGAATGCAAGAAATGGCGACTTTAGACCACAGGACATTTCATGGACACCGCAGCAAGATCTAGAAGACGATTCCAGCCTAGAGGAAGGCGTAATAAACTCTTTGGAAAATACTAGAGAGTACCAAAAGAAACCTCATGTGTTTAGCTTGTCGTTACCGAGGGACAATCATCTAGCTTCGTACTTGGTAGAAAATAACACGCAAAGCACAACACATCTGCAGAAACTTAAGCGATCCGTGTCGGGAGTTTTAAATAACTTATCGCAGACTAAAAAACCATCGTCGATCAATCAAGACCAAAATGAGAACTGGTTTCTGAGTAAATCAGCCCCAAATTCATTAAATAATGTGCCAAATTCACTCGAATTAAAAACCACGCAGAAAGAAGACGTATCGCAAAGCCTGGGCAGAGTGATGTATCTTCCAGATCTTGACTCCAATCCTGAACGAAATAGATCCAGGGCTAAAGAGGATATGCGGGAGAGATCCAGATCAGCTGAAAGATCCAGAGCTAACAATCAACTATCAGTATTCTCAAAGTCGTGCGAGAATATATCAAAGGAATCAAATGTACGACCTGAGAACCTGCAAGATCCTCCCAAGCAAAGTGAATGGAAGAATAGCAGAAAACCTAAGAAGTTTACGTTTCAAAGTACTGTAAGGCAAATTGAGCGTAAAAGGTTGGCCGAAAAGCTATCCAGAGAAGCAGAACGAAAGGAACATCAACGTTTAAGAGAGCTGGAAGCAATGCAAAGAGTCGAGGAAGAGTTCCAGAAAAAACGCGCCAGGGAAAAGGCCAACATCAGGCAGCAATTGAGGCTTTATAGTTTGGATGAGCCGTGGACCAGTTTGCCGCCCAATATTGAACTCAAAGATGAAATACCTGTAAGTTCATAGGCAAGTTTTTTTTTCTTAAAATATAGGAGTATCTTTTAGGTTCGTCAAGAACCTGATGGTGCCGTTTCATCCGCTACATCTTCACCACCTCTGGCAACTAAAACTCCTGAATATATAAAGAAAAAACAAAAGGCAAAGTTAAGAACTAGTTCGGAGAGTTCAGAGGAGAATAAGTTAAAAACACCAGCGACCCAAATTTTGTCTGAATTCAGGCAACCTCAAAGGGAATATAAGGAATTCAGAGGTAATGGTAGATACCTAAATGAGTTGAATGAAAATTCCAGGCAAACCACCACAATTCATCCACAAGTTATCTACAACATGCCGAAAGCAAAGGGACAAAGTACGACAGTGTTATTTTATAATATAAAGTTTTTAATGTATTTTTTATAGATGGCAAAAAAGTCTCCAGCACTAATTACCGTAAAGATTTTGCTCATGGTGTTAAGAGTAACCGATCTGTTGGGAGTAGTAATTCTGAAGAATCACTTTCCAGAAATAATTCTCCTAGGTTGTATCACAACAAATATGCTCCAATTACAAGGTAAGTGGGAGGGAGACAATGCTTTTGACAGTCTCAAAAAATTATTTTTTTTGTTTTAGATTTTAAACTTGCTGTATTTATTGATTCCATAGACTAACAATTGTATTTATATAAATATGTATATAATTTTTATTTCTTTTTGTAACGTTATATTTTTTTGTAATATTTTATTAACCCAAATAAAAATGTACAGTATGTTGTTTTTGTACGTTTTACTATCCTAATGTGCCTTAAATGCACTATTGATTTTTCAAGGTGCCTACAATTTAAAGCGGCCAATTTAAATTCGGAATTTATGATTAGAAAATCAATATTTCAGTATTTTATATCTAATTGAGATTGTTATCTTTTTAATTTTCTCCACTTAAATTAACTTTAAAAACTCTTTTTATTATTGTATTATTTAATTGAATTTATTTCTTATAAGTTAAAATGTTACATACAAATAGTTAAATATGTAGATATAAATATAAGATTAGATTTTAGTTTTTAATGAAAAGAGGTTTGAAACGAAAAGGTGTTCAAGGGAAATCAAGGACAAAGGGGGAAATATTTTTTATACCACTAGCGCCATCTAACAAAGATCGTAGAAAACAAGCAACTTGGCCATTTTCGACTTGATGAAGTTAGGCTATTCCAACAGAGAGGGCCTAAATTTAAACTTCCATCATATACTTACCAGTAAGTATATGACTTCCATCTATATAAATACTACACAGCAGTTTGTTAAGTAAAGTTAATTTTTTTTATCTGGGCAGTTGTCAAGTTGGTCGCATTGATTAAAACAAACTAATATAGTTATAAATCTAATTGTGGTTATGTATAAATTATTGTAGGTTACATTGTGCAGTTGTCAAGTTGAGTTGTCGAAATTCGTAGTTAAAAATGCAATTAATTTGGCTTTGGTGGTGCTTGGATGAGTAAAATCATATAAAAAAGTAGTTAAATATGGGTTGCTTACGGCCCAGAAGAGAAAGTATTCCTAGCGGATAATAATCTTCGCTTTGAAAAGAATTTATATAAAAGAAATTAAAATTTTTTGTAAACGTAAATGTTGTCCAATGGTGAATAATGTGAAAATAATGTGTGATGTAATATTTATAAAACCAAATTCGTTACTTTTTTACTCCAAAAATGTCCATAATGCGATGTACTTTTTCTTCCATTGTGGCATTTGGCATAATTTCATCAAAATGAAGTTTTGCCCTCAAAAGGGCTTTTACATTCGAATTCGTTGCTATTATGTTTGGCATAATTATCTTTTTATTTATAATTAATAAATATTATTGTCAATTTGACAGTGTCAAAGTATTTAATTAAATTCTTTAGGTATAGTACCATTTTTGAATACTAAAAATACGAGTCCAGATAAAAAAAATGAACTGTATATGACTTCCATCACATACTTCCCGCAGCAAGAATTTGGCAACGTCGTATTTCTACCACGATAGGTAAATGGTTTTTATCATAGACATACTAATTAGGGTTGGGAAAATTTCACTTTTTGCTTGTACTTGAAATTTAACTTGAAACTTTCATGACATTTATAAAATACCTAAATTTCTGAAATTTTATGAAATTTATTGAAACTTTCAATAAATTTCAATCACTTAAGTGTAATATATTAATATTGAAATAAGCCCACTCGGGGACCATGGCAAATTGCCTCTCTTACCTCCTACCCCTCTGTGGGCCACTGCACCAATAATATAAATAGTAAATACCTATGTTTACCACAAATTTCTTGAATTTAACTTCTAAAATATTTTTAAAATTACTAAAACTAATAGAGATATAGCACTTTTTGGTAAGCTAATGAGATTGTGCCACTTTCATTGTTTTATAATTATATATATTTATTATTTTTATATATTTTACTGAAATTTTACGAAAATTGAAGAAACTTCATCAAAATTTTATGAGCCAAAGGCATTTTTTATCCGTTTTCCGATGCAATTATAGCAAAAGTAAAAGTTTAAATTAATCATGGCTTTTAAAAAAATTTTAAAGTCTGATTTAATTTACAAATTAAATTGGTAACTGAATTAAATTATTTAAATTAATTTATGCATATAAGTAACAATAATTACTTATAGTGTATTCAAATCCAAGCCGAACTAAACAAAAACGCCCAGACGCTTGATAACTCGTTCTTATTGGTCGATTCGGAATCTGTTAAATTATTATTAAAGGTCCTAGGGGAGGCTGCATGTGAAATTTATGCGAAATTTTCAGTAAATTGCGAAACTTTCAATGAAATTTCTGAAAGCTTCACAGGCAATGTTGAAATTTTCGGATTGAAAATTTTATTTGAAATTTTTAAAAATTTCACTTTTCCAACTAAATGAAATATTTCAAGTTTGAAACTTTCAAAGTTGAAATTTTCATTTGAAAATTTCAACTGCCCCAACCCTAATACTAATATGTATTTTGTTTGTTTTCTGTTGTATGCCAATTGTTTTGACATTGTTTTTTTCCATTGTGAAATTTTTATTATGCATATTATGCCACTTTTTGATTTTTATAAAGCCAGGTAAAAAAATTTGATAAAACATAAATTTAATTTAGTTGGCAATTCCTATCATACGTGGACGTATTACTATGTCTATGGTATCATATATTTAAAATCCCCCACTTATGAACTGACCATGCCCATAAGGTAAAAGGAAACGAAATCATCTATACAAAATATAGCGAATAAGCAGTATAAAACTTGGACCAAAAAGCGGGTTTGCTGGGGTAAAAAAATAAAAAAAAGCATTCTCTCCAAATATTTCTTTATTTTTTGTTCTTAAAACTATTCATAATACATTATTTGCCACTAAACCGATGCTTAGCAAGTTACAATACATTTCATTTTTTTAATAATACTCATATCTGAATATGAAAATGTAAAAAGTTTTGCTACAGATTTAATTTGATTAAATTGTTTGTCCAACAATAAAATTTTATCACCCCTAATTTTTAATATGATTAAAAATAAAACTAGATATATTTAGACAAACAGTTTTATCATTATTTACATTGATTTTAACTAAGAATATAAGTTTAATATAGCGAAATGGTTAAATCTGCAAATCAAGAAGAGTTTTTAATTGTTTGATGGATATTTGCATATTAGACTTAAATTCTTATGCGAGGAAGGTTTTACTTTGTTTTAACTTCTTTATAAAATATATTTTCAACAATGTAAAAATGGTCTCAGAACTATTTTGTATATGTCTAAAAAATTGTAAAAGGAAGTATTGTGATCAACAAATCAATTTGAAACTCAGATGGCAGTTTGTAAAATGTTTGTTTTTGATACGTTATACACATACATAACACATAATAGATAAAAGCATATACACTTACACGACCTATACCAAACCATTCAAGGCGTTTTTTTCTAAAATAAAAAACGCTGAATAATATGAAAATAGTTATATTTTATAAGTATATTTTATATAGGTATCTGAGTCTCCAATGTAAATAGATATAATCTCATGTGAAATATTCTACAAAAAACATTCTATAACTTAGTGTTATATATAGGTACTAAACATTCTTAAGAGCTAATTTTGATTTTGTGCCACCAATTTGATCGAACCAGAATCAAAAATCTCTAATTTCAAGTAGACGAATATTTTGACTCTGCCCCGATCATTGTATAATTATACTTACATATAACAACACTTTTTTTCTGAAAAACATTCGCGCTTCTCAATTACCCAAGATTAATGCTAATTTTTTTTATTCCCATCGGCTCGAACCGCTACAACTTTACGAGAAGTTCTTACCATGGGAATTGAGGTTAGTTTAGGTTGGCCGTTTACTAAATAATCGGCACGGCATTGTACCTTGTCTGGTCATGTTCGTACCGGAAAACCGGCATTGACCGGTTCACCCGGTTTTGATTGGAGGTAGTGACGGACTATAATTTCCATTTTACTAGGCTTTTTTATGACTTTAAGGATTTACTTCAATTTTTTTGCGTTATTAGTAAAAATAATGTTTGCAGGGTAATTTATTTAAATATTTCAACAAAAGTTCCCATAAACGTCATATAAAGTTGAGGCTTTTTAACAGGTTATAGAAATGAAGTCATTTTATTTTTTTATGTATATTCCTAAATGTACCTCAACTAAAGATATTGTTTATATGACCTTTTTAATATATAACGCTTCAATTTACAAATCACCCTGGATAAGAATGAAAATTAAGTATTTGGGCATTCGTCACTCTTTTTGTATAAATTCTTATTTACAGTGACATCAACTGAACACGCGCTTCAAAAAAATCTTAATCCACAGTACACAAAAAATGTGCAGGCCAAATTGCAATTGTAAAGAAAGATTAAAATTTCGATAGGGGTGCATTTACCCCGTTTGTATTTATTTTGTTTGTGCATTTAGCAATTTTTACCCCAAAATAAGGTTTGAAATCAATTTAATCTCGCTATAATTTAGAAGAAAGAAGGGTTGGGCCCTGAGGGTTGAATAGTTTCAACTATAAATAACGGACACAATGGATTTTCAGGCCACGTGCCCGGCGAACTTTACCTAAATCTGGAAAAAAGTTATCAGGACCGTAACCAACATTTTTTATTTTGTTATATTTTTTTAAAAAGTTTTAGAATACTGAAAAAGGACAACTTTGGTAATATGTTAAACAAGTATTTATTTTTTAAAATTATTTTGTGTTTTTTCAATTTTTGTAAAAAACACTGACAAACAAAATCTATTTTTTATAATCAACAAATTTATAGCAAAATAATAAAAAACTTTGTTTTATATCAACTTTGTTTGAGTACGGTTCTGAATATCTGGGACTTAGACCTGTTTGTGCATTATAAACATGACCATCAAAATACCCCTTTAGTTCAAAATTTCCCCTTTTGCGTAAAATCAACCCTCATTTTACAACAATTACGTATTTTGATGTCACTGGTCGTAGACAGCTGTCGCAGAGATTTCCAACAATAACACGATAGATTAAAGAAAAACACACGTCCGATATCGTAGTCCATTGTTCGCAATCGGTTTCATTAAAATTTTCAGATTTTTTCCACTATTTTTATATAAACGGCTTAATGGTGGAAAAGGGGGAGAATCCCTGGTTTTGGGATTCAAAATTTCGGTTATACTGAAATTGAAATTGTAAATACTTAATAAATAAAATTAAGTGGAAAAAATAAAATAGAAAAAAAGAATCAAGAAAGAATAGACAAAATTAGATTACTCAACCCCTAATATATATCTTCCGGGCATTTATTCTTTTTTCGTTCGTCATATACAGAGAAAAAGGCAAATGAAATTGTGGTAAAATAATTATTTCTGAAGAATATACGATTCGTAAGCAATTTTTTTACTATTTAGTTTCTATTGAAACACGGTAAAAACAATTTCTAATCCAAAATTTTTAGTTATATTTGTTCTTTTCAATGCCTTATTTTAGTATCTTATAGGGGAGGATTAACTTTTCCATATTATCTCTAAAATTTGATATTTTAATGACATTTATTCGCAAAATAACATTTGTAAGTTTCTTGTTTGCGTCATGATTTTGTCACGTACATGTTAAAGAAGGTCACACTAATTATCCAAAATGTAGTTAACGAAATAAGAAAATATAAGGAAAAGGAAAAAATCCTTAGGATTTAATTAAATTTAATACAAAGTCGTGAGTGTTTTCATAAAAGCGCTAAGAGAAAACTGATATATTATATTGGGAAAAGCAGAAAAATCTATTTCATTAAGTTTTCTAAGGGTGTATGATGGTTTCTTCCTTGTAAAAACCGCGCCTATATGGCTGGTCGTAAATTCACTGAAATTGTTTATCCCGTTTATTTTGTCAAGGGTGGCAAAACTGACTGAAATGACCGGAGCTAAAATGCAAGGGTAAAATCTATAGTTGGACAGTTATTGCTTTTATACTTTAACCCGGCGCTTACACATTTTTTCAATAAAAATAATTCGGAACTCTCTAGAGTTTCTTTTTATTTTATGCCTTCCTTTTTATCACACAAATTACTTAAATAATAATAATTATTATCGTTTTTCATTTACACAAAATTATCCGATTTTTTGTTAAATAAATAAATTTCTTAGCTCTTTAAAACCTAACCTAACGTCAAATGACCTTGAAAAAGTTCAAAATACCTTTTTTGGTTCATATATCAATTTTCATCAATGTATTTCAGAGAAGACAAGATTTGTCAGAGATAACCGCATTGATAGAAAATCAATTCTAATATAATTACAGAAATTGCTGACAAAAACATATTTTTTGTGTTTGTGGATTAAAATAATGTTTTTATTTATAACTTGTTAATGTCGCTTGTAAATATATGCCCAAATATGTAAGTATAACAAAATATAACGAAACGTTTGTATATCTATCACAACTTTTCATAAAAATAACAAATAAAGTGAATGTTTGTTCCAAAAACTGGGTATACTAGAATTAAATACAAAAATAGATTACTTTATCGTATAAAATTTGTACTTTCTAAGATTGTTTGTTATAATAAGTGAATTGTATATGTGGAACAATTTTTGGAACATTTTCGGGAAAGAAAAATATAAAATAAAATAAAAAAAATAATAAATCCAAATAATTTATTTAAGAGAAAAATAATATAAATTGACTAGCATGCTTATAAAATAAATAAAATTATAAATATTGACTAGGACATAAAGTATATAGGTATGTAGGACTAGAATTATAGGTTAAAAAATAAATGAAAATGATGTGCTAAACATACAAATATAAGATCACCCACCTTAGCAACAATTAAAAAATGTTCTTTCTTTAATAAATAACTTGTAAGACTATGTTTTATTTACCTTAACGTAATATAGATAAAACCCGTAATATTTCTTTTAAATACATATTATAACGAAGAATTTACACGTTTCACACCCTGGGAGTTTTGGAACATTTACTACTAAACAACTTAAATACTTAACATACTTTTTAAACTCCACAGGACATGATTCGCGATTTTTTGATTTTTGCTCATTTATCCTAAATTTTACGTGAGGCCTATGAACTCACAAATCACACCATAGTTTCACTAAAATAATCCTTCCTCTAGAATTTGATGGATTCCTGTAAGGGTCATTCCATAAGTACATTTTTTGCTTTCATTTTCTCAACGTTTTTTACTTTTATATATCTTATAAAAACAAAAAAGTGTTGTAGTATGGGATGACCCATACTGATGATTAAATCCCATTCTCCATATTTTTTATACCACAAATGTCCCTTTTATACATACGTAGGCACGTGTCCATATTTAAATTTTTTCCTCTACTATGCAAATTCGTTCATTCAGAAAACGCATATAATTTTGCTTTTATTACATTTTTCTGAAATTTTTGTAGGGTAGGCTTTTGTGTAATTTGATATAATTTCCCATGGTTCATTATATCGTTCTACCCCCTGGTCGATATATGATTTCCATAACTTATAATATATGCAAATCCCGAGTGACAAAAGAATCATAAAAGTGCACGAAAAATTCAATGCAACGATTTACCTAATGGCGAAACTTAATTTTTCGGTAAAAGCTGGAAAATTAATTTTTGGGGATTTATCCACGCGTTGCTAGACAATTTATGCACGGTTGTACTTGGGGATGAAATCGCATTGGCAACCGAAAACAACTTTTCAAAAATCACTTTTTTTTACAAAATTTGCATGGTTTCATTTTTGGTTGTCATGGTGATCTGCATTGCTGCGGTATCGGAAATGACCTTGAGAAAGTTGCTAGGCGACCAATATTTCTTAAATATTGACATTGTTGTCCTTGAAACGCTTTTTTATAAGAATGGTAATAAAAACACAAAAATTAAAAATGACGTTTAATTTTTTGCGTTTTCTGCGTTTCTTGAATATTTTTAAGGGTAACAATGTTAATGGCCTTAATATAATAATAAAAAACATTGACCTTAAACATCGCACCCCAAAATGCAACCATATAAAAAAAAACGTATAAAAATGTAAAGTTGGAAATTGACCGTTCTTTTGTTATTAAAATGGCGTTTGGGGTAGATGAAAAAACTGAATGTCATTAAAAATGACAAGTTGGCTGTTAAAATAATTTTGAATTGACGACTACAAATAAAAATGGACAGATGCATATATTTAGAAAAAATAATATTTTAAGGGTATCGAGGTAAAAATTAAGGGGTGGTCGGCACGCGCGGCAGATGTTTACAAAATTCGGGAAAAAGGGAACCCGAATAACAATACTACAAAAAATTGTAAAGAAATCAAATGAAATTTGCATTCGGAGGTATAAAAATGAAAAATTGCCAGAGCTATTAAATTTGATTGCAGAGGATTGTTATTTTCGCAACTGATCGGCAAAAAAATTCAATTGTTTAAATATGGACACGTGTTAATTATACAAAGCTGTCATAAAGGATAATATTTTAATATATTTAAAATATGACTCTTTCTTGAATTGCTTGTAGTAGAATTTGTTCATTTTGTACCTAATAAAGTAAAGAGATAAACATTAGCACCCAGGCTGTTACATTTACGAAATTTGCAATAATTACTGAAAGGCACACAGCTTTAGTATTATAACTAGTAATTCATTAGCAAGGGTAGTCAAATTTGTACTATACAACAATTTTTTACAATATGTTTTCATCCAGTGTGTTCTTGGTTAACCCAACATGTACTTTCGAGGTCATGAAACTTACATCAACATTAACTCGTTTCATATGGTCGAAATTAAATGTTTCTGGTTACGTATTTGCAGATTTACAAGATTTTAACTCTAAGCTCGTTTGTTATAAAATATTATGTTGAATCTTGTAAATTTGCTCGATCGACGGAAGGTGTTATGGGAATGACAAAATTCTTAGTTAATATCCTAGTAGTGAGGAACTTAGATAGATACAATATAAAAACGAGATAAAAAGGAGAAAGGCCTTATGGGGATAAAGAGAGGAGAATGGGGAGGAAGGACTGGGAGGGACGTAATGTAACTAACGTATAATGAAGATGTCCGCTCCTGTTTTTTACTGAACCCCGCAGTAAATACAGAAACAAGTTGGTACAACTATTTTGATCCACAGGCTTAGAAAATGATTAGGTGGTACCGACTATTTTGTATTTTTTGGAGGTTTTTTTTATTTTGTTTTGTACAGTTGAACTGCGGACTTTGATTGTACTTAGTTTCAGCTAACCCTGAGTTGCGTGTCGCGGAATATTTTTGTTAAAATTGTTTTCAAATCGTTTCTTTAAATCGCAAAGTAAGTAGATAATTGTTTAATTGAACTGACTGTTGAGCAAGCTACATCTAACAACTCAATACATCCATACTTTGTGAAGGAATATTATTATATCGAGAGATAAAATAGGAACTTCTTTAAACATCACTAAAGCTTTCTATCGTACAAAACATCAGTGTCTCGATATTTCTCATATTTATAAGTGAAAATCAACAGACCATATAAAAAATTCACTCAGTCTTTCCGGTATTTGCATAAAAATATGTGCTCATATGTTTCTCAGTAAAATATGAGGCAATGTTGCAAATATAGGAATACGCTTATTTTATAAATACTTTTTTTAAGATTATACAATAATAATTAAAAAATTAAAAATTAATAAAAAATCACAGGTGTCGTCGAATCGCCTTCGATTGTTTCTTAAAAAAATATGTCACATCTATGCAAAAACTACGGTGGGAGGAGGGGGGGAGCTGAGGGCGGGGTTAGGCCGGGGTAAGTGTGAAGGTGACCGAAAGGGGGGCGGGTTGTTTTTGCAAAACCGGCAAAAAAACGACGGCGGGAACTACGCGTCTCTCGGCGACCGCAGCTTCCTCCAAGAGAAAGGCCTGCATCACGTAACCCGAGTCCGCAGCTGCGGGGCCGGGGTCTTTCTGCTTCGATTCGCGACTCTCACCTGATATTAAAGCCGATGACGCCGCAGACGCGGCCTGGCTGCTGGGCAAAGCGTACGTGGCCGGCAGCTGAGACTTCTTCGCCACGTCCTTCAAACTTTGCCCGATTTCAGGAGGGATCTCCGCTTGCTTCAGCTGAGCCGCCATCTTCTTTATCATCACTTCCTTATCTTTATCTTCTTTGTCTTCCTCGGCATCGGCATCGGCATCGGCATCTCCATCGAATGGTTCTTTGGAGGTCTCGCCGAAGGAGTTGTTGTTCCCGTTGAAGAAAGGCGGCAGAGGTAGGAATGGATGCTGAGTGAACATGTGATGTTGCAAAACTTCGGGTTGCGCGAATGTTTGCGGACAAACTGGACATTTCAAGGTTACACCGTCACTGCTGTTCGAGTGCGAACGTTCATGGACGAACAACAATGGAAGTAGCTGCGTCGTGAATGGACAATAGGAGCACTGATAATTCTTCGCGTTCGACTCATCGACGCCGAACAAGCTTGATAAAACGTTTTGTATGCCGACATTCGGGGCTTGTTCCTGACCACCATTAGGGATTTTTAATGTAGGGCTGGTTCTTTCGACTTTGATTTTTTGCCCTAGATTATGCTGCAGTTGTTGCTCTATCTCGGCCCATTTTTCAGCACCCACTTGCCCGTGATCGCTCATTAAATGCGCCTTCAACCACTTGGTACTTCTAAAACGCCTGCTGCATATCGAACAAACTTCAGTAAAATGCGTAAAGTATCTGTGACTTAAATCGGCCAAGTCAGCTGGCTTAATCGAGTTTTCATTTTCTGGCAGCATTATTGGTGGCACTGGAGGCTCGCCCTCGGACTTCCTGGGCTGCAGAAGACTCGTCCCGTACTCGACGATACCGTGAGTATTGTGTTTGTGCACTCTTAAGAAATACTTGCTGCAAAGCTCCTTATTGCAGATATCGCAAACCACTCCGCCAATCTGAGCGCCGTTTTCGATCTCGATCCCATGCATCCGCTGCATATGCGTTTTCATGAAGTATTTGTTGCATAGCTCTTTGTTGCATATCTCGCAATAACTACTAGTTGGTGTCACGTTCATCGAAATCCTCCGTTCAGGCATCGGATTCATAACGCGATTCGATTTTTCTGGGGTGCTGAAACCACTGAAATCCTTCAAATTCTCGGTGTTATTTTGATTCGAGTGAAATTCCAAGATGTGTTTCTTCATCTCGGCGACGTTTGGCAAGTCTTTGCCGCATAGATCGCACATTGTATTGTTGTTGGAACTGTTTTCGGATTCGGCCGCTTTTTCCTCCGACATGTCCTCCAGAAGGATTCCGTGCTCAGTCATCATATGCGCGTGCAAGTAATAACGATTTTCGAACTCTTTGTTGCACGCATTGCAAATAGTGGACACTTTGGTGACATCAAGATCGTTCAGCTGCAAAATCATAGTTTGCAATTTTTGCAGGTCCTCGCTTATTGCCTCGGCGTTGAGAGACTTATCCGCTGGTTCCGGTTGTTCCAGCGTTTTCTTCATCTCCTCAGCGCTATCTGATTCTGCCTCTTTCGGGAACATTTTAGCGTGGAGTGTAACATTGTGCAGCTGCGCTAGGTTAGCGTTCTGAAACTTAATACCGCATATATCGCAACTAATGTCGTTTGGTGATGTCGTTTTGCGGTCTTGTATGGTTTGTTCGGTCATAATAAGGTTCAAAGGGCTTGTCTGTATGTTCGGGGGCCACGGAAAATTGCCCATATCTTTTTCTCTATCGTCGGGTATGTAGATACCATGACGTTTCATTTTATGCGTACGCAGGAAATATTTGTTGCAGTATTCCTTGCAGCAAATTTCACAGAACGCTTTAGGATTCATTACACCAATTCGTCTAAGGCGATTCGACAAGTCTAGCTCTCTACTTGATATTGGAGACATTTTGATTGAATCGTAGAACAATCCGGCGTCCGGATCGTTTTTAAATGAGGTAGATTCGGTTGGGTCTCGAGGACTAGAGGACGATTCGGCTTGAACGTCTTCTTGTGCTGCTTGTGTTGGTGGTTGCGATGGCAATTGCGGTTGAGGCTGTGGTTTGTCCTCGGAGAAACCGTTCTGAGAGTTGCTCGGAGATTCTTCATTAAATAGATTCTGTTTAACTTTGGGGTACTTGTTCGAGAACGGGTTGGGGAATATGGTTTCAGGTTTCGTTGGCATATTATCTAGTGTTGTTGGCACGGGAGTTTGGAACTTGACGTTGCCAGTATAAGACGGAATATTGACGGGGTTGCCCATTGGTTGCTGCGGTTGCTGTTCAGTGGTGGGTGTGTCAGTGTAAATGCCATGTTTGTTGGCTTTGTGTGTCTTCAGGAAATACTTGTTGCAGAACTCTTTGTTGCATAAATCACAGTACGCGTCTGGATTAAAGATTCGTATGGATTGTCTAGGCAAGTTGTCCGATTGTGCGAATTGTGGGAGGGACATGAACATGGGCGGTATTGGCAAATACTCCTTGTTTTGCATATCGTTCATCCATGGCACGTCAGGCCTTGGTATGGAAAGCTCCAAGTTCGAATCGCTCCTCTGCATACCCGAATAATCTTCCGGCTCTCTCTTGCACTCGATCTGCGAATGTTCACCGATAATATGATGCTGTATTTGTTCGGCGGTATCAAAGTATAATTGGCACACTGGACAGCGATAATCCGGCTCAATGGCACTCGCGTCGGGCGGACTAGCCGGCCTATCTTCCGAAGCGGATGTCGACGGCACAGCCGCGTCCATCTCCGTCGCCGATATACGAATGGGTGTCGATTGCTTTCGCCGTTTTTTGCACGAATCGCCTCCAGTTGACGCGGTGGCTGCGCTCAGGCATCGTTTCATCGACGACGTTGCAGGACGCGGCAAATCGAAGTCGGTTTCGCTGGTCGACTCTTCTGATGGGGCCACTGACGTTGAGTAGCCTCCGTGAATGCTTGAACTCGAAGGTAGAGTGACTGAAGTCATCATTTTTTCTTGTAGGCGACATGCAGTGTTCTATAGGTCTCTAAACAACAAACAAAGGCATCAGCTTAAGACAACCATCAGTACTGGTCATCTGCACAAAATTTGATTTAATTTCATGTGGAATGAGAAAATCGACCAAAAACTGTCAAACTTAAACAAATATTAGAAATATTTCCCAACACCAAAACAAAACACAAAGTGCTTAAAGTACTTTTCGCCAACGATGTTGGCATCTTCAGAAGCGAAATGTAACTAATTAAATCAGTTTGTGCATACGACTATAGGTAATTTTGTTTAAAGATAGAAATAAACACTTCTTGAAAAGAAACTTAATTGAGCTAAATCTAGTCTTGTTTATTTAATAAAATTGAACAAGCCTGAAGATGTTTAAGAAAGGAATTAATTAATTGAACAAAATGTAAACAATAAAAAGCGTAGAGGTTAATTGGTAAATTAAACATTTATTATTTAATACAAGACAAAATAATCTAAAATAAAATTAAGTTTCTTTTCAATGTTTTGAAGACATAAAATTACGTTATTATTAAAAAAATAAGTTATTTGAAAAATATAAACTAGGCGTTCCATATAAACATATTACGCCATTGTTAAGGTTAATCAATATAAAAAATATCAATCAAGAAATTTTAACCCTTGAAAACATTTTGTTAATATATAAATTACACAACATAATAATTTCGTAGGACCCTGTATGAAATATTCCTGCATTCTGTTAATGATTTCATCATTAAATATTTGTGCACACAGTGTACAGCGCTGTACAATCCAAAAATGACCAAAAACGGACTTATGAATCATCGTTTCCCTCATTTCGAATTATATTCTCCCCCTTATTTATTTCGCTAGTTTCGGGAAAAATTCAAAGAGAATCTAGGGGGTAACAATACTAGAAACTTATATTAACCCGCATATAATTAGCAGCTCAAATAAATTTTGGTAATAATGAAAAATCAATACAACGCACTTGCCAATATGGAATGGAGCATTTAACCACACCTCGTCGAAGCAAAATCTTAAGGTTTATTAAAATTAATTTAAAATGTTTAAAATAGTATATTAAATTTATTATTGTAAATGATTCTTATTGATAATTTATAATAAACAGTTTTAAAGAATTCAAGGAAAAAATATAAGTTATTTAACTTTATTTAAGGTGTAATAAGTTTTGTTCTTGGTATATAATAAGAAATATAAATAGAACAATTTAAACAAAAAAGATAAATATTTCCTGCTTTTATCCTTCTAAATAACTCTAGGCGTAAAGAATAAGTATTGATTTTTCATTAATTTCAAAACTTCACATTTGCTGATTCTTCCAGTTCCACATAAAATTGTTTTATTAATATAATAAATTGTGTTTTCGATAGAACTTATCGGGAGAAATTGTGAAAGAAAAACATTTTTAAAAATTATATGACTAATATTTATAGCATTTATAATTACACCTTTATCAACTATTTGTAAACAATTTTTCTAAATTAAATTAAAATTGTTAAATATGACTATTAAAAAAATATAACTAAAATATTTGGTTAAAATTTGCACAAAAAGCCTAAATGTTAATTTTTTAAAGATAATAAAATAATTAATCATTTGCTATTTGTTATACATTTTTTATACAAAAAAATAGGTATTTATGGCCTAGGTCATAAAAATTCATTATTTACTAATTTGGATCAATCAAAAAACTCGACTAACCTCACTTTCTACTTATAATAATTAAAAATTTTATGAATTGTTTACCAAATAAAGTTGTGCCTTAAAGATAAAATGTTGTATGTCACTCGTCCAAGAATTTTTTTAAATACACATTTACAAGCTGCGACTTTATGGCGTTTTAGTCCCGGGCAAGTTAGCTTTAAGTTAGTTGACAGTTGTCAAATGTCATACAATCAAAATAAAGTGCCATTCTTGTGGAAATTATTATTAACACTGAAAAACTGCTTCTAAATCAGATTTAAACGGTTGTTAGTCCATACTCCATTTTTGTATATGTAGATGTCATGCACTCCATACAAATATTTAAATAAAATAATAATTTGTACTAAATCATATTTTATAATATTTTTTATAGAAATTCATTTTATTAAACAAAATGGCGTTTATCAAACTCGATACATAATATATAGTTAATTAAGTTTAATTTATAGACCGCTGGAAGATAAAGTATTTATTATCTACGATATAATAAAAATACTTTTATTTATGTTAACTTTTAAATGTAATAAAATCTTTAACAATATACAAAATATGTAGGAGAAAAATAATAAAAACTAGGAAAAATCATAACAAAAATTTTTGTTAAAAAATATTAAACAATTTATTATTAAATTGTAATTATATTTTTTTATAGAAATGGTCCAATAAGATTTTTTGAAGTAACAACTTTAATATTATGAATAAATTTTACTATTATGTTAAAAGAAGTCAAAAATATATTTATATTTTAAAAAATGAAAGTCATGTTTTTAAAATTATAAATGATAATAATAATAAAAATTATGGAAAAAATTAAAATATAACATATGTATGTATATAAAATCATATATTGAAAAAAACATACCAAATCTAAGAACATGTATGTTCCATTTTAGCACATGTAAAAGAACTGTCAAACCTTAAGTTACGCACTCACGTGTTCATTAACAAAACTGTAAATGCTCTGTGCATTGTATACAGCACTCTATCTACGATATGGATTCCCCTACCACCGTGCTTTTCACCCCCTACCCTGCTGCCAAATTTCACGAGCGCGTTTCATTGCACGGAGCTTTTTTCCATTTGTTAATATTTAATTACCCCACCCTAATTATTTTAATTCGTTGAAAAATATCAAACAACAAAATTCTAATGGAATTATAGTTATTTCGATTTTAAGGGGTAGTTTTTTTAGGTAATTGTGAACATTTTTTTTCCATAAATTATTCATTTATTAAAACTGTCATTTGATATTATTAGGAATTATCAATAATCAAAAATGAAAATTACAACCTGCTCTAAATAAATTAATAGGGGAAATAGAAAATTGATTTTATCAAGAGTTTTAATATTTATAATAGCTAGACTTTATTTGTTTTAAAATCTTTATGTTTTAAATTGAATAATTTTATACCGAATTATTAATTTAAAAAAAATATCACTGACGGACGTATCGTGTACTAAAAATATTTCAAATGTAAAGTAGATTAAAAGTAGTAAAAAAACACTAAAAACAAGCTTAATATTGTTAGATTTTAATCAAAATTTTTCGTGAATTCTAAAATGCTTCTTGACCAAAAATCGTGTCCTTATAAAATTAGAAATCATGCGAGGTTTGGAAAAAAATACAATACAATTTAAATATTATGAAAAAATCAATACACACAAACATTAAAATAATGAATTATAGATGAAAATTCAGCTAACGATTATCCAACCACTTTATTGTAATGAAAATTTGTTTAATGACTCATAATTATTAAAATTTTAATGTCAATAAATTTATATAATAATAACATAATTTTTGTTTTCATCGTGTGTTATATAAATTAATTTCGCCATTTAGGATTTTGGTTCTTTGAATCATTGAATAAAAGCTTTGAAAGCATTCAAAGAAATAAAATTGGATATTTTTTTATTACATTCAATAAATTAATTAAATTGTGAAAGATTAAATGATGGGTTTTAATAAAAATTCAATTAAATATTGGGCTAAATAAAATTGACAACATAAAAATATTATAAAAATAATGCTGTCAATTATCTGTCATTAAAATGTATTGTGATTAAAATAAGATATATCTGTTATATATTTGTTTTTGAAGGATTTCATAATCAGTATTGAATTTGTATTTTTAGTATACGCACAATCCTGAAAAATGTTCACCCGTAAACAAACTAAAGATGTATTTACAAACTAATATTTTGATCATTATTATTTTAGATAGCGTTTTTTTATCAAAAGATCGATATTTCCCCCTTGTGCGTTTTGAAATGTAAAAGAAGGGACATTTTAAATTTCTAATTTAGAATTCGCGTGATGAAAATTTATTATTTTTTAGGGCTTCACAAAAAGAGAACAAATACAGGTGTTGAGGATATTATCTATTATCTTATTTGCATTTTATTTAAATATTAAATTATTGTTGATTACGGATAATATTAATAATAAATCAATAGATAAAAGTAAATTAAACAGTTTGTCATACATAATTTTACAGATGGAACAAAGTTTTAATTTATTTTCAAAATATTAATAATTTTTTGTTTTCGAATTAAAATAATGATAGAATACAAAAAATTTTTCACTTGTTAAATTTAGAACATGGTTGTCAGATATACTGTATTTTATAACAGGATCAATTTCCTGCGGAAAATATTGTTAATTATATAAGAATATCATACTTTAAGTCTTTACTTGCCTTTGAATAGACAAAAAAAATACAAATGTAATTAAGACATGGTCCTGAAATTTTGGGCAGGATGTCAAGTTAAGAGAGAAGAAAACGGCGGCACCGGGGAAAATATTGATCAGAAAGATAAAGCTATATGGCTTTTAGAAAATATAATGAAGAATGAAAACATAACGGACAGCGCAAATGAGAAACTAAGGGTGAATGCGTATATATATATACTTATGTGTGTGTGTGTGTGTGTATATAGTGCGTACGATTTTCCCTGTCCGTCGATCAATAAAACTCCCACACCATTCGACCACTGTCCAGAATGTTGACCGGTCGCGCAACTTATTTTATAAGACATCATATCCATGAAAGGCGTGTCAAAAAATTATATAAATTTTTTTTTCCTGTTGCCAATTTTTCCTGACACATAACCTCATGCAAATCCACCTTAAACCATTCAACTTAAATTATAACCTATATTTAGATTTTATCCTGCAAAACGCTGTGACATAAAAGACTATCCTGCAGGATAACATGCACGTCTTCATATATTATGTGAAATACTCCATGCGATTAGTTCACAAAATCCTGCAAAATTCACATAAACCAATAATGTAAACAAATAAATCCTGCTATAACCATAACGCAGCAGGATTAAAAACAACGCCTTACACAATATAACAACAATATTAAAATGAATAAATAAATAAAATGTTAAATAACTTACTGAGACCGACTTCTAAAATAATAAAAACGTCATTGCAGGACACCCTTGCGACACAAACGCGTTCTACCTACTGAAAATAATTTAGGGGCAGTGCGTAGTTTTGAAAGTGAACTGCGCAACTCCATACGGCAAGTTTTACAAACGAAATTTTTGATAGTCCTGCCGGTTTTGGGGGGAATATTTCAAATAAAGGAGCTGCAATTTAACTTGGCCGGGCTTTTTTCCTGCTAAATTAATGTGTTAATTTAAGAACTGTCTTAGATGTTACGCGATTGATTTTGCAGGAAATTGTGCGGTTGGCAGGGCGAATGTGGTTTTTAAATTTTGCAAAATTGATTTTACAATTGCAGGACTTATCACGTTTTAATTGATTGATGAGGAAACTCGTTAATTACATTATGTTTAAGTATTTTTTACGATATGGCAGGAATTTTAAAACGTGTACGTTACCTAATTCAAACCTGCAGGGGGCACTTTGCAGGAATTCGCAATGTATTAAAATTTCAGGCTAGTTTATTTTTGCCATTGTTAATTATAATTATAACTGATTAAAGAATAATTTATTTCCCAATAAACTTAAAACGTGATAAACAATACAACTTTATTTTTCGTCACATAAAAAACTTTGTCAATTAAAAATCGACATTAGTATTAATATTGTGTTTTTTGTTGAAGGGTAAGTTCTAATGAATGTTTTATTTAAATATTTTTGTCATTTAAATTAACTATAAGCTTTGTAATCAATAAAATAATAAAAGATAGATAAGGAAATGTTATGAATTTTAATATTAAAAATTTAATATCCTTTATGGTAAACAAAACTACAATTTTCTGATAACAATTATTGATTTTTTAGTTTTTTTATGATTAAAGAGAATGAATGTATGTATGTATGTATAACCATATTATCAGTTTTTATTTGACTTTGACAAAAAATCTTTTATAAAAAAATATTAGCAAAGTTAAACTATTGATAAATAATCTAATACAAATTTTGATCATTTCAACCGTAAAAATCCTGAAGGGTTTTTTTTACCTGAACCTACATTATAAAATATATGTATAGTAACGAACTATGATATACATATACTTTATAATAGGCAACCCAGATAACTTATGGATGCATTAGTTTTTGAAATAGTAATTTTTTTATTAAAGCACTGAAATACACTAGTGAAAGTGAAGAAAATTCCATGCTATGAGGCCCTTTTGCTTAATTTTATTATGAGAAATCACGTGATCATCATTTTGTAAAGTTGTCGGATTTTTTGCCAATTTTTTTAAATATTTTTGCCTTGTAAGTCAAAGTCTATTTTTCAGAAAATTGGGCTCAAAAACCTGCTGTGAATTTTAACAATTTTTCTTTATAAAAATTTAAACAATTTTAAAAATATTGTAGAATATTTTTCTGCAATATTTGAAATATTTAATTAATTAATCATATTTATAAAAAAACAATTTTTTTTAATTTCTAATATCTAACTTAAATAGACAAAAATGGCAATGCAAATACCAGGTGGTAGAATTAATTAAAAAAAAGAAACATTTTATGTCAAACTTATGGTAAATAAAATTAAGTTGAAATTTTGGCCAGGGGCGTCTCAAACAGGAAAATTTAACCCCAACTTTTTTGTGGTTTGACATTTTGGACCTTCAGTATTAAGTAATATAGTTTTTTATGTAAAAAAGGTCAGTTTTCTAGTAAAATTGATTTAAGTTCGTCAATGACCTTGCACATGCATTTTGCCGTGTCCAAAGTTATCTGTTTACTGTTTAATTATTGGAGTTAAGAAAGTTAAAACAGAAAAATATGTTTTGCAAAAATGGCGAATGACATACATTTTTTTACAATAAACGTAATCTTAATATGACTACCGTAAGCAAATAATGAAAAAAGATTATAATCTGATATGTAGGTATACAGTATTTTTATTGTGTATATTTATTTTAAAATTTTCATTTTAAACATAAGATATTGTTTAAAAGTTATTATAATAAGTAAATTAACAAAGAATAATCTTTTGGATGTATTACAGTTTGAATTAAAATTAGGTAACAAAAATTACCTTGAACTTACATATATGTATCATATATGAATCGTGTGTAATGCTTGATAAAAAAGTAATTTTGTCTATCTATAATGATATTCAAGAAGGCGCCAAATTGATAAAAATGCAGCTGATTTTGGGGTTTTTCTTTTATTTTTGCAAAATAACTAAAAAAATACCAGTGTCAAGGAATTACAACATTTTTTAAATGTTATTTATATTCAACAAAAAACAAAACAATAAAACAATACCAGTTAAATCCCCTGATTCAAAAATATCAATTAATTAATTAACATACGTAATTTCTTGACTTAAAATCATATTTTATTAAACCCTAGACATTTATACCCTGTTTATATACATACATAAAATATTAGTAGAATTTGACATACGTAACCATGTACGTCATTTTTTTAATATACCTACTATCTATATAACATTGTTTTTAGACAATGCTAATAAGCATAAATATAAATTAACGATTTAACTACCACCCTGTGCAATAAACATATGGTGGCATAATACATAAAAATCCAATAACTTTTTAATTTTAATACAGTGATTTTTTAAACGGCTAGAATAAATCCATAAGGATTGACAATAATTGCCCCGTACTGTAATTGTTTATTATTTCCAATTTGATTTTATTACATTTGGTTTTTCTATGTTTTTTTCGTAGAAAAGATAACAATAACAAAATTCAAAAATTCCGAAAAGTTCACCTGTACGTATTATCATTTGTATAAATATTTGTCTACTTATTTATATTGACTCGTTTAATTTAATAAAAAGTTTTTCTCAGCCATTGATTTAAAGAAAAAAATTTACCAACAAGGTTCTATAGTTTAACATGATTTACCGAAGGTTAAAAAAATGTGTGTGAAAATAATATTATATTTTTTGTACATGGTAGTACCCTGATGGTACATAAAAGTAATAAAAAATTGGACAAAATTCAGTTTAAAATATAAAATATTTGCAATAAAATAAGTTTTTTAATAAATTTAATCAAATTGGTCATGTGATCTAACGCAAAGTGGTATTATTAATATTTTTTTAAGGGCTTAAGCACAATATCATATAAATAATTACATTATTTATAACAATAAATTATTAAGAAAAAAAGTTAAAAAAAAAACCCTTGTCATCCTAACCACTAGACCATACGGGATATACTTTATACTCAAGAAAACCTGTTTGAAAAGCTAACATTTATCGAAAAAACAAAAGAATTTGTTTTTTCGATCAGAGTTAATTTATGACAAAATTTACTTCTCATTTCAAAATCCTAACTGGAATGGAATGGAAAATTGCAATGAGGAGGATCTTATTCTTAATAGTAAGAGCTCGTACGTAGTAGATTCTAGCAATCTTATTTGTTGTTATTGTAATTTTTTATCTTAACAATGAAAATTTAACTAAGAAGTACATACGTTAAACACTTAGTTATGCAAATCTGTTGTTAAAGTCTTTATTGACAAGATTCTTAAAAACCACGCATTGAAGTCATGACTATTGTTAAAATGGTGGAAATTTCTTAAAATCAAAAAATCCTTTAATCCTTTTTAAAGCCCCCCTAATATAAAGTCTGAAAAGTTCACCTTAGAAACTAAAAAAATCGAATTGCCTCCCACTACCTTCAAAACATATTTATCTCTACTACACCTGTAGTACAATAATTTGAAATATTTAAGTGACATTTGAGTTTGGTTCTGACTATCGCACACACGGTTCATATAGGTACATTCCTACACATCAATACAAACGCGAAATTTTTTGAAGTTTGATTTGTTTAAAGTGATTAAAGCTGGCTTATATTATATTTCTCAGTGTCAAGTAAGTGATTTTTATTTTTTCTTATCTGCTGTTTATAATTCTAAAAATTCTTCTAGAGAATGCGGAATTTTGCACATCGATAATAATTAATATTATAAACAATATTTTTTCGTACCATGTCTGTATAAATAGTTTTATTTGATGTATTAGCAAATAATTTTATAAGGGGGTATATAATAATTATGTCTGGGTGAAAAGATAAAAGGATTAAAGCACATCATTTTTTAATAAACACAACACAAACAATTTGTTTATTTTAAATTATTTAACACAGTTAAAAAAAATACCTTATATTTTAATTTCGTATTTAATATTATTTTTGCAAAACTTTTACCCCGTATAACGTTTTCAATAATTTAAATAAACTAAAGGTTTAAATGATTGATACATTATCGTTATCTTATGATAAACGGATATAAAATAAAATTGCAATTATTTGAAATTCTTATTGTTCTGTTCGTAACTAATATAAGAAAATTGGTATGTATGTTTTCCTTATACACTACGTTTCAGTAAAAAAAATTCTGTGCACTGATAGCGACGTTTTTAAAACCTATTAAAACAATATTTATTTAAGACAAAAATTTTTGTTTTTATTTACATTTATTATTGTTGTATACAAGTTATTTTCCAAAAATTAAAACTATATCTATTTGAATAAATAGAAAAGTATGTGTATTTTTTCTAGATAAGTAAAGAATAATATTAGTATAACATACATATATATTTATATATTTTTATGTAGTATGCATATTAAGATTTCAATAACTTTCCTGAAATAATTTTATTTAATAGCAATAATATAAAAATGAAACAAATCCTAATAATTTTAGTGATTTTACAAATTTGTATCAATATATCAATAATTTATATATTTTTTATCTAAATACTTGTTGAAATATTCCTTGAACAGATATTACGCAGGTACTTTTGATATATCAATTGGACTTGACTCATTTAAGTATTTATTGTTTATAATTATAAGTCATGGTTAAAAAAATATTTAAATGGACAAACTTCACACCCCACCCCTTTTTTCTAGATCAAGCCTTTTTGGATGGTCACCAAGGGCATTTCCAAGTCAAAATACATTTTCTTTGACAGTTTGCAACTCGTTGGGAGGAGTCCAACCAACTAAAAGAGCCTTCTTAAAATTCATCCAGTAAGATTGTATTATTATTATTATTATTATTAATATTAAATTAGGAACAGTCACATCACTCATGTAGAACTAAGCTAATGGCTAAAATTTTTTTGTTGGTTTACCGCAGAACTCATTTATCATTTTAATAGCTTAGTTTTCGTTCATAATTCTGTAAAGGTTGTATATTGTTATGACATAACTTTTTTTAAGATATGGTCTCCCCAAGCTTGGAAAAGGATGATTTTTCAGTCAACATTGAGAAAAACCTTTCCATTGAAAGACTACAAAGTCAGGAAAATCAACTCACAGTTTCCACTATACTCAGTTTAAATCCTGACTGTAAAGATATCCTTTCTAATGGTAAGTGTCGAAAGCTTATATTGAAGAAGAATATTAATCCCATTTAATTTGATACTCACATAATGTCATTGACTTTTTCACTTAATTTTAACAGGTTAATCTATTTATAAATATAATTCGCCTTGTTAAACAATACATTAAAAAAATTGCGGTAATTTTAAAACTTTAATATCAATGTATAAATATTAAGATATGAATGCAATAAATTGTATTTAATATTTTTTATATACATGCCTCATTGATTTTAACAATCTAAGATTAAAATAAATATTTACTTTTTTATATTGGCATTTTAACAATGATGTTGCAGTTATTTTTTAATTTTTTTAATTGTAAAGGTTAAAAAATCAATTAAGGCCTTATAATATTTATCCAAGATAAAACTCAAGTGTTCAAGATAAGGTTTTTTAAGAAAGTTTAATAAATAAATTACTAATAACCCATGCCTCATTCATGAACCTCAAGTGAATGGGGTCATTACTAATACCCTGGTTGAGGGGAGTCCGGATTGTACTTAGTTTTGGGTCAGTTCAAGGCCCCCAAAAACCAACTGTTGTCCCTCCTTGTGCTACACTCCACTAGCCTAAATCGGGCGTATGGTAGGCCCGGCGACAAAATTCCGGGAGTGGCCTTTACCATCGACACTGTCATCCACGACCTCCTAGGGAAGATTACCTGCCGGGGTGAAAATTCAGATAGAACCGAAAGGGGGTAAAATAACCCTGGAAGATCAGTGTAAGGCGTAACCGATGGGGCCTGCCATACGTTCTTATACTCATACTCATACTCATAAATTAATAAATATCCGATCTGAGAAAATCCGATAAACTTATTTTTATCGACCTTCAAAGTTTAATTTGGTTTAACAATATGACATTATTTTTTGCAATGCACAATTAAAATTTGGAATTGTTAAAAATTACCGACAATTTTCTTTTATGTATTTATGTATGATTTTCAATATTATTATTATTAATAAAATCATGAATAATTGATTTGTTTATACCAAATCAAACTAATTTTACGTAATGATATGTCACCACGTGTTAATTATGGAAAATAAGTAGTCGTGTTACCTAGTGTGATAATAATCAAAGTTTATATTTTCCTATAATTAGTAAATTTGCGTGTTGATGCTTGACTCAAAACATTTTATTGTCAGTTGCCATATATGACCTCCATTATTTTCTATATTTTCTTTAAGGAGTTGGTAAAGTTGAATCTCTGTATAACAATAAATCCATTGAATCTATACCATCGGATAGCGAAAGCATTCACTATCAAAAAACCTACGAAAGCGAAAAATGGTATTCAGTCACAATGCAAGTATTTATACCTTTTATGATTGCCGGCATTGGTACCATAGGAGCTGGAATTGTCCTTGACGATGTTCAAGAATACGAAGTTTTTAAACAGATCAAAGCTTTATTTGTCTTAGTTCCTGCTCTATTAGGACTTAAAGGAAATTTGGATACCTGTTTAGCATCAAGACTATCGACGCATGTCAACTTGGGTACTTTGAAGGGCAAGAAGGAAATTTTTAAGATTATTTATGGAAATATTGGACTGGTTCAGGTAAGCTTAACACAATAGGTTCTGAGATAAAATAGCACAATATATGGAAACTCATAAACTGCTTTATCAATGACCTTGAAATTTCATTCATTCTATTTTTCCCAAATTTCAACTTTCTAGCTTCTCCAGTTTCTGAGATATCCAATAGCAAACCAAACAGTATCTGGAAATTCATAAACTGCTTCATCCTATTTATCCCAAATTTGAACTGTCTAGCACATCCAGTTTCTGAAATATCCAATAGCAAATCTAAGTAGTACCATAGCCAAAGCATTAACATTTAGAAAGCATAATAACCCAGTTATACATCCCATTTTTACCAAATTTCAACTTTCTAGCATCTCCAATGTATGAGACATCCATTAGCAATTCTATAAAGCACAATATCTGAACCTAGTTATACTTCCTAACTACTCCAAATTTAAACATTCTAGCTTCTCTAAATTCTGAGTTATTATCATTTGATTTTGTTACAGATCCAGGCAATAGTAGCGTCATGCCTTGTCTCTTTATTTGCGGTTGGTGTAACGGCTATAATGAACAACGTTTTCGACTATAAGGACGCCATGTTGCTGGCAGCTTCGAGCGTTTTGACAGCTACCATGTCCTGTTTTGTATTAGGTAATATAGTAACTGATAAACGAATACTTTTATTATAACATAATTTTTCCAGATTTTGTTTTGATTGGTGTTATTTTTGCATCAAAGAAATTTAAGTTGAATCCTGATAATTTGGCAACACCCTTTGCAGCTAGCATTGGGGATGTTGTTAGTTTGATGTTGCTATCTGTATGGGCCAAGTTGCTGTATGAAATTCATGAGCAATATCCTTGGTTGTTGTTTGCTATACTTGGTTTCTATATTTTCCTTGTTTTGCCGGTGTGGGTATTGATCGTGCGAAAAAATGAGTATACCAACAAAATTCTGACTACTGGTTGGACACCGGTATTGAGTGCCCTTATCATTAGTGGGTTAGTTTTTGGTAAAACTTTAATGTTTTTGTTCTAAATTTATTATTTTTAGTATGGGTGGTCTAGTGTTGGATCATGCTATAGATCAATTTAAAAACTTTGGCGTATTTCAACCGATCATCAACGGCATTGGAGGAAATCTTGTATCAGTACAATCCAGCAGAATATCAACAATGCTGCATAAAACATCAATCAAAGGAGTCATACCACCGCACACGAAACAATGGGTTGCACCTTGGACTGCTCTTGTCAAAGGAGTTCTTCCAGCCAAATCAGCCAGGATTTTAATTCTTCTTGCAATACCAGGTCAAACTATATTTGTACTAACAGCTGATCTTATTGCAAACGGTAGATTAACAGTTAGCTACATATTTGTTCTTACCTACTTAAGTGTTAGTTTAATCCAAATCATGTCATTGCTGTACATAGCCCACTTGATGACGCACACCATGTGGAAATTCAAAATCGATCCAGATAATTCAGCCATACCATACTTGACAGCTTTGGGAGATTTGCTTGGTTCCAGCTTACTTATGCTTGCATTCATATTATTGAGGCACATTCATGAAGAATATGACCCAGATTCAGCAACATAAGTTCATTGAGTTAATTAAATCATAACTTAGGCCGGAACCTCAAAATTTTATACATTCCACTTTTGATATTACTGAGCTACTTTGTAGTTATCGTTGCCATGTATTATTAATTAAGATACTTAACATTAAGATATTACCAAAGTGTATTTTATATAGTACCCATGGGTAAATAGTGATATTTTTAATAAATTATAGTATTATACATAAATTCATGTACTTACAGTATTACGTATATTGTTACCTCATTATTACATATGAAGGGGTAAGAAGCAAAAGGGTGCAAGTGCAAAAAAAAGTTGAGTTATTATATTAACGAAACTTTTTGCTATATACAAAAATCTGGATACTTGTTTCAATGTGCAGAATTTTCACGTTATGAAAAAAAAAATGGACTCTAAACTACCCAATTCTGCACTTATTATTTAACTTATGTTTATGCTAAAATGCAGTTGTACCCTTTTGCTTCTTACCCCTTTGTTTTTGTACAAATTTTACTATAACATTATTTATTTTTGAAAAAACGTTAGTAAGTTAATATTTTAAAAATTATTGTATTGTAATAAAGTGTATTTTAAGGTAAGTTATGTTTTATTTACAAAAATATATATATAACCTAAATTTAATTTAGTTGACAATTCCTATCATACATGGACGTATTAATATGTCTATGATATCATATATTTTAAATAAGCAGTATGTGTGGAAGCATTGAGCATTTACTCAATGGTGGAAGTATGTCTTTTTACCTTATAAAAATAACCGTTACATAGTGGTATGGTTTGGCTATTGGCCGTCAGATGTCCCCCCAAAAATTTTTAAGCGAATTTCTGTAAAGCGTTCGAATGCAAAGTTATGGATTAAATTGTATAGATGGTCTTGTGGTAAAACAAAGTATTTAGAATATATTGAAAACACTTCTTGCGATGTGAATGGGAGGTTCAGTGCGGCAAAATCTGTTATATTATGTGTGCAACAGTGACAAAATGACTGAGACAAATCCGTTTTAGCCATTCAATTTGTGACCTAATATGTTTTATAAGACTGGTGCTAATAATAAAATACGAAGAGGAAATATGAAGACAATATGAGTTATAGAAATACTGCATTTTGCCAAAAACAAGTAAGTTCATTTTATAAATAACAAACTTTTTTGTTTTTTTTAAGCAAAATTTATTGACCAGGTATTTTAGACAAAACTTTCTTTGACAATACAAAATCAATTTACTAAATTGTATCCCCCACTAAAAATTTAAATTATTTCAAGAAATTTATCACTTTCATTTTATTATATCAATTGTAGCAGTCAGGATAATATTTTAAATTTAAGTTTTAAATTTATTTACTAACATAGATAAACCAGTGGGTACTAAATAATTTATTCAATTACTTAAGATGTTTTTTTATTTAATAGGACCATTTAAGAAGATTTTAATACTTTGATTAAATTTTGGAAAATCATATGTTATTATTTTTTATTTTGTCAACCAAATTTTGTTGTTGTATTGTATTTACTTTTCTACTATTTACTATACATCCGCACCTAATTAACAAAGTGATTAGGTAAAGTGTTTTAAAATTAAAAGTCAATTAAAAATAAATGTACTTGAACACAACTATATACATAGCTTCATATTTCATGTAAACTAATATATGGGAGTTTTAAATGTAATATTAAAATTAAATGTAAGAGCTTTTAAAATCAAATAAAGTTTTAATTAGATTTCCATTAAATGTTAAAATATGATTACAATATTACAATATTAATTATTTTATATAACAAAATTAAATGGATAAAAACATAAAAATGGCAATCTACAAGCTAAATAAGATAAGAAATTTTATAAAATTTCTTTTGTTTTAGAACATTGGGGCACAAGGTAGTGCGGGCATGTAATACCATGAAAAGCGGCCGTAGTCAGATCTGGGGCCGGCAAAAAAGTTTTTCCTGGTTTCGGGGCATAATTGTAGCATCAATAGTGTTTTTCATATGGCTGGAATTAAACTTCCTCACTTATGGAAATTCCGTGTCGAATTTTCAAGACTTGAACGATTCGAATGCAGCGATTTTCAGCATGGTGCCGGCGGTGTTTCACAAATTTTTAACGCCCAGGCCTAAGAACAACGCGACGACCACCGTTAACGGTAGCTTAAACAGCGAAAACACCAAATCGGGAGTGCCTAATATTACCGAAATAAAAAAAAATTTAAATCAATACAATCAACAACAAATTGTCTACAACGAGGACACTTTCGGACCTCTGCAAAACGATTCTGTCGTCATTGTGATACAGGTAAACAAATGTTCACTAGTTTTTACCATTCAAACATATATGCATTGTAGACAGTCTATTTTTAATATATTGATATAACTTCGTAGGATTCTCAACGTAAATCGGTCAATTTCACGTCTAAAGGGTGAACAATTAGGGGCTATTCAGTGTGACTTAAATTCTTAATAACTCAAAATTTATTCTTAAAATAACCCCTACAGCGTAGTTATTTATTTATTACATTAATTGTAAATAATAATAATAACTTTTAAATATGATTATGTTAAAACATATTTTATCCTTTGATTTTTTTTATGACTATAACTGCAAAATATTATCACAAAGTATTAAAAATTCCTACACGGGAAATGTGAAGGTACCAAAAGTGACAGTTGTATTTATTTTAAATCTCAAATTTTTCTGTGTAATTTCAAATTTATAGAAGCAGTTTTTTACAGTAAAAGAGAAGAGAATGTTTTATGGGCACTGTACGAAACATTTTTAACGCTTTATCAGTAACCCTAGGTGTAAAGGTGTTTTGTAACGAAAATATTTTTTCCGTCAAATAGTTTCACACAAAAATTAATAGTTTATACATGTAAGTGTTTGAAAAATCTTTGCATTATTGCGCCTTGATTAGGATTTCCTGTGCACACCACACGGAACTTTGATAAATTTAATTTATTAAATAAATTATAATATTAATAAGATTTAAAAAAAAGGAATTACAAAAAACTAAGTGTGACCTTGGAAGGCGAGGGGGTCGAGACTTTGAGACAAAATGTGACAAGGGTCTAAAATCCCCAAAAATTTGTTTACACTTAAAAAAATTAATAGTTTATATGTATACATGTAAGTGTTTAAAAATTATTTGAATTATTGCTACTTGATTGGGATTTCCCGTTCAAACCACCAACTTTGATAAATTACGTCACTGACATCATTTTAAACCAAGACAATTTTTCTTTTTGGTTTAAAAACCACAATCAATAAAAACACTGACATTTTATTGCGTCTTACGAAATTTTTCTTTATAAACAGAACGTCAATACGTTGTTTCTTTATTTATTTATATTTTTGACTCCATCTTCTAAAAGTAAATGACAATTTAAATAATAACCAGTTAAGAAAAAAAATGTCTCGTTATAACAGGACGAACTAATTTTTACCTAATTATTTTGACTTTGTTTAAAAAAACGCAAGATCAAATAAATAAATATTTACTTGTCGCTTTATTATTATTGTATTAACAAACACTTTCGAGGTTTATTTTGTAAGATTATTAATTAACAAAACAAACAAATATATTTCATTTAAATAAGAGGAAAATTTGAGCAATTTAAAATAGTATATTTGGCTTGTTTTTTTTAATACAATGTAGTACGAGAAAACGTCTTATGAGATGACTTTTGACCTTTGACCTTTGAGTGTACCAAGAGCTACAATTTAATTCGTGACTATCAAACTATTTTGCATTCAAGAATGCAAGTTTTAATTTAACAAATTTTGACCATCTACAAAAATGTAATTGAAACATATATTTTTTAGATCCACGACCGGATCACTTATCTGCGGCATTTAATAGTTAGCCTCGCTCAAGCACGCGACATCTCTCAAGCCCTCTTAGTATTTTCTCATGATTTTTACGATGAGGAAATAAACGCCTTAATACAGAGCATAGATTTTTGCAAAGTGATCCAAATTTTCTATCCGTACTCGATTCAAACTCATCCGCGCGAATTTCCGGGTGAAGATCCGAACGATTGTCCGAGAAATATGAAGAAGGAACAGGCTATGAACACTGAGTGCAATAACGCTCTATATCCCGATCTGTACGGGCATTATAGGGAGGCTAAGTTCACGCAAACCAAGCACCATTGGTGGTGGAAATCGAACAGGGTGTTTAGTCAATTGGAGGTGACTAGAAACCACAGTGGTTTAGTGGTCTTTCTCGAGGAAGATCACTATGTAGCTGAGGATTTCATATACGTACTGAAATTGATGGATAAAACCTGTAAGGACTCGTGTAGACACTGTAATGTATTATCATTGGGAACCTACTTGAAGACGTATAACTACTATGAAGATGCCAAAAAGGTAAATTGTAGCTCTTCATCAACCGATTTTCAATAGCATTCAATTCAATAGCATCAACCAGATTGTATAGTATATCTATGTAAATTATATAACAGCTTTATTAGGGTGATTCAAAAAAATCGAATATATTTTTTTTTCCGACACTAAAAAATTGGTTCTCATCACAGTTTTCCATTTTTTCTTTAGTCCATTATAAAAAAGACCACGCTGTTAAAAATTTATTTTGTAATTTTACTAAACATGTTTTTACGCACCACAATATAGTAATAATAAAATTCAGTTTTGTAAATTCACTACACGATTCATTACAACTCAATTTGGAAAATTACAAAACGTTTGTTAAAATTCACGAAGCATTTATTAAAAATTTGTTCAGTAACATTACTATAAGTATTGTAATTTTGCTAAAAAAAATACTAAATATGTTTATTAATTTTAAAATGGTGTATTGTAATTATACTATACAATTCATTTCAACTCAGTTTAAGAAAATTACAAAATATATTTTACAATTTTATTGAACTAAAGAAAATTCGTTTCGCAATATTACAATACAAATATTGTTATTTTGAACAACAAATTACACTAAAAATATTTAGTAATTTACGAATGATGGTATTGTAATTATACTACGAGAAAAAAACCTGCAATTTTTTTTAGTTTCTTCAAAAAACTTTCTTAACCCATTACTGTAAAGATTAAAAAAATTGAACCTTCACTTTGCCAGAGTTTTTGTTTTAAGTGCGTTCCACCAACTTCAAATACCGACAGACAGCTAGATATATCTATAGATATACCTATTTTGGGTTGGTGTATTGGAACAGACCAAAAACGAAAGACACCTGAGCTTATATACTGTCCACCTAAGTCAACCGAGGCGAGATGTAAGAACATCACGTGATTGCCGCAACCGGTACATACTATGCCTTTTACATTATAGCAAATCAAATTTTCCAACTTGTCTTGGAAGATTACTTAAATTGTATTATAATTTTGTATTGGTATACACTGATTTTTAATTTTACTCATCCTTTGTTTTGCAAAACAATTGTAATTTTGCAAAAAATTTTAACAGTATACATGATTAAAATGATATATAGTAAAAATGCAAACAATGTTATATATTTGCAAACACTTATTGTAATTCAAATAGCAAATTTTGGTTTAATAATTTTATTGATTATCTTAGTAAAATTAAATTCTGAATAGGTATAGAAATTTTACAAAATTTCAAATTCAATTCTACAATACAAAATTGTAAAACTACTATAAGTATGTGACAAAAACAAAAACATTGTAAAATTGGAACTTTGGCTGTAACAAAATGTAATATTACAAGAAATCTTTAACCATATTTTATTAATTAATAATGAAATATGGTCTAAGTGCCTGAGAACCAATTTTTTAGTGTCGCAAGTAAAAAAATATTTGATTTTTTAAATCACCCTAAGCTTTATGTATGTATATGTTGCTGAAACATGTGTGAGAGCTACATTAATAAAACCAATTGGTTTTTGTCAATATGCTTTCAAATATTATTAATGCTTACCATAAAATCATTTATTTTGTTTGTTTTTCTGGCAAGCCGAACTATTTTAACTTAAAACATATGTTGTTTAGGTATTTAAAAGCCTAAAAACAAAGTAGTTAAATTTACAAAAATAGCATAGAAATAAATATTTTAATAAAATGTAAATCAATAACTCTCGAGTTAACTTATGATCTCCACTTAAATTGGACTCAAGAAGTCCTTAAAAAGAACAATGCAATAATTGACCTAAAAACTATAGTAGGTAGGTATATATAATTTTAGAGTCCTTTATTACATGAACATTATTTTTTAAGACTGTGATTTTATTAAAATTTATTAGTTTATACCAAATTTTAATTACAGAAAGACGTTTTAAGGGCCCTAAAACATAAGTCTCTTATTAACGGGGCCCAGATACAACCATCATGGACTTTTCAAGTGTTACCATCATTATACCAACATTCGCAAAAGGTAGCTTTTTGTATATGTGCATGCAATGTATGTGAACAATTTTGAATGTGTTTAAGTGTATAAATGTATATGTTGCTTAAATAAACGAAAAAAAGTTATGTATGTCATCATAATAATATAAAAAAAAATTCAAGTCTTTAACAATGTTCATTTTTAACACTCATAAGATTATACAGGGTGGCTCAACGAAAACTAAACACAGCGATACCTCATTTCAAAGGCCTCGCTCCACTGAGTAGGTATCATAAAAAAATGTTACAACTTCAATTTTAAATATCATACAAAAATGTTACAACTTCAATTTTAAATATCTCGAAAACAAATAAATAGAATTTTACATTTTTTCTTCGTGGAGTAAGAACTTTTAAAGGTTTTTATAATCTATTTTGTGAGATTGTATTTATTATACTACGTTCGAGTTATTAAAAACATTTTACTTTACGTGTTATAACGACTTAATACATTATTGATTAAACTATATAGTCTAATTAAAACGAAACAAAATAAAACAGTTTTTAAATGAGAAATTTATGGATTTTTTAGTTAATCACTTAAGGGGGCATTCTGTATTTCTACACATCTATAAAAATATCGTGCTACTAATTTAAAAAAATGTTGTATAACAAAAATGGCGACCAAAAATGCTTTGAGCTTTAATATTCCACATAAAAAATTTTGTGTTTAGCTCGTATATTTCTTGTGATTGTTTATCTCCAATAGCATTTTTAACTTAAAGGTGGAAATAACGCCATGGATCAGTAGTAAACATAACATGGGAATGGCTATTAACAGAACAACATGGGAACAAATAGTCCAATGTGCTTCATTTTTTTGCAAATATGACGACTACAATTGGGATTGGTCATTACAGCATATATCACAAAATTGTTTAAAACAAAAATTACACGCCATGGTCGTTAGAGGGCCCAGAGTATTTCATATTGGAGAATGGTAAAATTATTTAAATTAAAATGTATTTTTTTACTTAATTTTTTTTTAGTGGTGTCCACCATAAGAAAAACAACTGCGAATCGACAGCAGTAGTGTCTAAAGTCCAGCAAGTCCTTAAAACCGCCAAAAGGCATTTGTTCCCAGACTACCTCACCTTGACTTACACCACTTTATTGAAGAAGACGAAACTTCGTAAAGGTAATGGCGGATGGGGCGACCACCGAGACCACAAACTTTGTATGAGCATGACTCTAAGGTAGTGTTCTTCACGTCAAATTTATACTAGTCAGAAGCTTTCTTATGCCATAATGAATTTCAAATCAAAATTTTAAGTTTATTGGCAAAAAGGGTACCTAAATAATGTTGGTTTTTATAAATGTTTATAATTTGCTCAAAAGTGTATTTTTTACTATAATTTTAACAAGGTTACAACATTGTAAACATGTTATGCGCAGTAATGTAGAAAAATGTAAATTTACATACACACGAAGTAATTTTACTGTGCCAAAAAGCAGTTTTTCTGTAAAATTACACTTTTAATATTGTGTCATATATAGTTTTATAAATGTGATTCATATAACCGCGATTATTCTATTTACCATGTATTGCCGTCTTATTTCTTCTAATTTAAGCCTGATTTATAGATTGCCTTCCTTCCTTCCTCCCGTAGAAGATGAACAATACAATCCCGTACGGGAATCTATAAACGCCGTTTATTAAACGGCACTACGGTTTTCGTATTGTTCATCTTTTACGGGAGGAAGGAAGGAAGACAATCTATAAATCAGGCATTAACCTGTAAAATTTTACGTACTAAGGCTTAATTATTAAAATAATATTTATATTGATAGATGGCGCTCTTGGCCAGCCACATCATATACTTACCACACATATACCGCTTATTTCCTATATTTTGAATAGATGACCTTGTTCCCGTTTTTAAGGGGAGGGTGGCTACTTTCTACCTTTTGCGCACGTGCAGTTCGAAAGTGGGAGATTAAAAAATCAATAATGTTTGTTGGTTATGAATAAATCCAAATGTCAGTTTAAGAATTTAGGTTATATTAAAAAAATATTAGAAAACTAGTTTTAAAATGCGAACTGTTTTGCTGTAAACAATAAATCAAAAATGGTTTGTACTGTGACCAAAATGTTCAATTATAATCTCCTTGGCAATAAGTCCTTGGGTAATAAAATAAGACGTAGCCAAATTTCTAATGCTAAAAACATTTTTATAAAATTGAAAAAATAATACTTCTTTTTATTATTAATACTTAAAAACATAATTTATTAATTCTTTATAAATTATGCAATATAAAATATTTTTATAAGCTTTATAATAACGAAAATAATATTAGAATATAATTACATCTGACAACACGGCCCCACGCATGTGTAAAACTGTATAAGTAGCTAGCTCCTAGTTTAACCCCACGAAAAGGAAACAGCCTGAATCCAAAATGATCTGTATATGTGTGGTAAGTATATGAGCCACATACTTTCACACATAAACAAATCATTTCCAACTGAGACTGTTTTTGAGGGGTTAAAGTAGGGGAAGTGAGAATTACACGGGATTGCATTGAGGCGCATGCGTCGCGTCATTGCCGGTTACATAAATCCATATTTTTATCTTAATTTGGGAAGTATAATGAATACTTTTTAATAAATTGTATGAAAAAAAGCATTTAACAATAATAAACAAACAAAATGATGATATTTTAGATTTTATAATGGCATGTTTATAACAGCGAGAATTTGGCAACGTCGTATTTCTACCACGATAGCCAATAGGTTTTATCATAGACATACTAATATGTAGATGGTTTTTATAATTAACCATCGTTTAGTTTTCTGTTGTTCTTATGTTAATGAGATTTTTAGTGGCTTTTAGGGATTGCAAATTATTTAAAAAATTACCGGTTTACCGGTTTTTACCGACATAAAAAATAACAAAGAAATAAGCAACAAAATAAATAACCAAACTTTAATTCTTATTAAATAATAACAACAGAAATGTAAAACTCTAGGTAAAAAAACGAATACGTGTATACCTAACTTAAAGACTAGTAACAGGCCCTAAAACATTCTAAATAGTAATTTAAATACCTACCGTTTCTTACTTTTCCAACGACTCTTTCGATTTCTTTTGTAATAAAAAGGGCCCTGAGAAAACACAGCTTATCAATACTATTATCACTTAGCCGCGACCTAATCTTAGTACAAATTGTTTCACAAAAACAACGGATCCGCGCTGTTGTCAGCTTGGCATTTTTTACCGAAATTACCGGTAAAAGATGTCGATTTCTCTGTCGGTAATTTAAAGAACTTTTAAGGCGGTAAATCGGTAATGCAATCCCTAGTGGCTTTTACATAATATGCTACTTTTTGCTTTTTAGGAAGTCAAACCAGGCGATGTAAGCAAATTATTTAGAAAAATTTAATATACCTAACCTCAACTTCATTTAGTTGACAATTCGTATCATACGTGGACTATTACTATGTCTATGGTATCATATATTTTAAATCCCCCACTTCCCTGCCGAAAATGCCCCTTTAAGAACAATAGAAACCAATGAGAATTTATGTTGTAATGTATTGGGTCTTATAGGTTTGAATCTGGTGAATTGGTATTAATTGGAAAACATAATTGTCTTGAATTGGTTAGACCTAAAACTGTTTGGCCACATATACAACCCAATAAAAACCGGTACCAATACACACATTTAGTCCGGTACAAACCATTTCATTCTCTTATTGATTTATATGGGTCATTTCGGCGGGGTTATGAACTGCATAATGTAGATCATACCCCAAATCGACAACTTTTCCCTCAAAAAAGAAAACAAAATATAGCGAATAAGTGTGGAAGAATGTGGTGCCAGCTACTGCGCATGCCCGGCTCGTGGTTCTGTTGAAACTTGCTTTAATAATAATAATAAAAACTCTTCAGCCTATTTTATAGTAGGTATATGACAGAACCATGTAAAATATTGTTGACGGAAAGTTATTTGAGAGTAAGGACTGAAATCTCGGTAAAAATTGTTTTTATTTTTGGTTTAACATTCCATATGACGATATTTTAATTTCCTAACGTTTTCAATAAGTAAATAATTGTCTAATTTGTGATATTTCTTTTAAGTAAGTAACAATGTAAGGCTGTAGGTGTTGTAAATAATGCTAGACTAAATTTACAAGTTATAATGTTTGTTCAATTTTTATGTACCAATTGTTTTTATCGTTTAAATTAAATTTAATATTGTTTCTAGTCATTAATTCTTCAAGCAAATATTGTAATAACAATTTTGGGAAAAAATTCATTATCAATAAAAAATCATTTATATGTCAATTAATGTCATTTATACTTAAATATAGGTAGTAAACTTATTAGTTTTATTTTATAAACCCCATAGTAAATAAGAAATAAAAGAAAAAATCTAAGAAAGGTCAATTTATGTAGTAATAACAAATAATCAGTTCTAAACAACCTTAACCTTCAAGTTGCTTATATAAAATTGGTACGTAATCATCCCAACAAGCTTGGTACAGGTTGCCAGCAATTGGTTGTCCCAAATTATATTTTTCAGCGAATTTTTTAATAGAGAAACAACCCCTTCCATCTCCAGAGCTAAAAAAAAATAAAAAATAAAATTGTACCACATTAAATATATCTATCCATACTTGTTGGGCAATCTCTTCTCGTCGAAAGTAAGTTTTCCAGGCTGCTTGTAGATCAGGAAGACATAACGATGTAGACCTGTACCCTGTGGAGGTCCAGAGCCGATGTAGGCAGATAAGGTTTCACCCTTGGAAATGTCATCTCCAGGTACATTTCCCACCAACCAATGATGCCATTCTCTGTAAGTTGGTTGCTCGCGGCTTGGTGCATCAGGATCTTAAAAAATGGAAGAGGTTTTGTCATTCAAATTATTTTTATATATATATTTGATTTAACTTACCGGTCATACACACGGCATAGAGTGAGTTACTATCGGCATTCCATTTTACTGTCGGGATATCTTTGACTAAAGTTGGAGTCAACTCATTGCCAAGTTCGACTTTTGCCCCGCTTGGATAACTTACCTAAAAAAATTCCATATTATTAAATAATCATATTCAAAGCTGCTAATTGCTTAGGTACCTTTGCAACTTCTTGTGGAGCTTTCTCGATAACATCGGGCACAACACCGTGTTTTTCCATGATACTAGTTGCTGAAGAATAAAGCCTTGTGAAATTATTGAAAGAATGACGAGATAACAGTCTCAAAGACATAACAGTAACAGGGTTATCGTTACCCACCTATTTGCAGCACTTTCTAGAAGCCCGTGATTTTTTGTTGTTTAACCGACAACAGCTGATAATGAACGAAAATCTTTTCGGAAAAACAACGTGGCGCTACCACTACTTAAAGGTTTGTTACACAGAGTACTTTTTGGTTTGTTAGGTATGTAGTACGTCTACCGTACAATAGATGGCGCGCATCGCAGAAAACTGTACGCGCATGAGTTGTCGGTTATTATCAGGGGGGTATAAGGGGAATTTGACAACAGGCAACAGTAAAATAAATCTAGCATGCGTTGAAACCCAAGTTGTTTTTGACAAACCCCAGTTATTAACCACGTGATTCTTACTTTGTTGTGATTGGTCTTTTCCAACTTGTTCGTTGATGTTCGGTTTGAGAAATTACAAATGGCCGACAGCGTTGTTGAAGTGGTGTGTACTAAGTTTTATAATCCAAATTTTCTTTGTTTTAGGTAAGTAAACTTGTTAATTTCGGCTTTAACATTTTATTAGGTGTTTTTAGTCAAGTTTGAGTTAGTTGTAGCATCATTACCGCGTTTAAAATAAGAAAATACGTGTGATAAACCGTATCGGTTTTTTTCTCTATGTTTACCGAAAACACATGTAGTTAATAAAATTTTTTTTATGTAATGAAACCTATGGCAAAGAGTAAAGACTCTTTGCTTATGGGTTGTTTAACTAATGCAAGTTTTGATAGAATTTAAATAGTTTTAAAGCGTTTTGATTCAAAACTTTCAATCAAAACAGTTTTTAACGTTTTTTTTCTCGACACTAGTTGCTGTTATACAAAATGTTAAATATACCTATAATCTTTGTCAAAATGTATGTTTTTGTTAAAATTATTTGATGTAGCTACGCGAAAACTGGACCTGGGTCCAGGGCCCCACTACATTGGCATTTGGTGGAGCGGAGGTTATTGAACGAACAGCCCCCTCATCGGTGGATCGGACGTAAAGGGCCCAACAATTTGACACACAGTGTGCGACTTCTTTCTCTGGGGCTTTATAAAAGATAACGTTTATGAGCCCCAAGATTTGTAAAAGCTAAATACACGAATTGGAACTGCTGAGTATCTACAAGATGTTTGCAGCTGGAAGAGGTCATATTAAACACTTGTAAGCATACAGTTCAAAACTTGATTATATTACAAATGTTTTGTGCTTTCCATGTTTTTTTTTACATAAATATAGCATTTTGAACTACAGGGTGATAATCTTTTACAGTATTTTTATAGTTATTTTATTTGAAGGGCTCAATGCAAGAAGTGTCTAAGTCACATTTTCAATTAAATTGTTATTGTGGCTTCATCCAAGAGTTTTCACATAAGTTGAAAACCAGGCAAACTCCCATTGAAGTAAATGCAAACTAAGGCACTTGGGCACATATTTCTGCCACTTTGAAAATACCACCTGAAACCTTACATGAAACACTCTTAGATGAAGCCACAATGTAATTGAATTGAAAATGCGACTTAGGCACTTAAGTGCAAGAATTCTTGCATTGACCCCTTCATTTGTTCTATCTGAAAGTCTGACATTTTTAATGTACATAAATAACTAGACAATTCATAAGCAAACCTTTTAAAGAATTATTTTTAAAGTTTTTAATTCAATTATTTTTTGCTACAATATAAATTGATTTTAATTTAATATAATTAATTTTAGCTTCTGCAATAATGGAAGAATTAGACAAGATTTATCCTGCATGAAGAAAAAGAATGAAAGCTTTACTCGTCAATCCCAAACAGAAATATTTGACCAAATTTTTTTAATAATAGGTAGATATATTTTTTTTAATTTAGAATACATTTTTAGTTACAATTGGTGGTGTGTGAATATTTTTACCAAATAAATTAGGTAAGTAGTAATATTTAATTCAAACTTAAAATTAAATATTTAAACTACATAAATAGTTTGAATTATTTGAATAGTTCAATAATTACAATCATAATCTATTCAAATAAGTTAATTAAGGGTTAATGACAAGTAAATAAAATTCTTTTTATTTCAAAATAAATTTTAAATTACAATTCCAATGTTCAATTTCTTCAATTACTATTGGAAAATTTTAATTTTCTAATTGAACCATTTAAAAATTTGAAACATTCAAACTATTTAAATAATTCTTGAATTCAATATTCACACATCCATAGTTACAATCCAAATATAAAAAAAGTAAAAGAAAGTACACTTTTAGTATTTACTCCAAATATAATTAAATTGTTTATTGTTAAAACAAGCAATCTGACATTTTTATATTACATACACTTCTGCTTTAAATTATTATTTTGAGGCAGAAATATTTTATTTAGGATTTTTATTAGGATATTAAAAAAGGATATTTTCATGTTAAAACAGCACAAGTTAACCATTATTAGTTTTTATAAAATTTTTAAATTAAAAAATAAACAAAATCATACTTAGTTAGTTACTTAGCTTATTTTTACAATAAACCATTCAATTATTTTTATGCTGGTAAAACAATTACCTTTAGCATAAATAAGTAGCATAAATATTGATACATTATTTTTATTTTATTTTAAAAATTATTAGGTAATATCAATTGTTTTACAATTTAAATTGATTTTAAAATTGGTATTGATTTCAGGTTTGGGTTTGTGTTAATGGAAGAAGCAGACAGGACTTGAATTTATCAAACTTCTTTGCAAAAGAACATAGAAAATATTAATTGCAGTTGAATATTCTTCATTGAATCAAGAAAAAGACGCAGGTTCAATCCATGAATCATGAACAAGAAAAAAGACAATTAATACTTAATTACTAATTAATAATTAATCTACTTAATATTGACCAGAAAGTTAAATCATACATAAAGATTTTAATTTTGCCAAATACATAATAACAATATTTTTAACATTGAGATTTAAGTGGTTCTATTGATTATTAATTTTAATTAAACCAATTTTACTAAAAATTAAATATTCCAAAGAATGTAATTTAATTTTTGGATAAGTAGGAATTCCTTTTTGCCAAAAATTCTATATTTTACAAAACTACAGTATTGTGCTTATTTTAAAAACAAATTATAATCATAATTCCTAAAAATTATAAGAGTGTGGTTTGTTATTACTTATTAGTCTAATTATGGCATTAAACATTTTAGGCATAAGCCTTTTGGTTTATTCCAATAAAGAAATTTGGAAATACCTATAGGTATACAATAAATCAGTATGTATTACAAAATTATTTATTTTTATGAATTACATATTCAAAGTTAAAATAATTTTAATTATATAATATACTCGAACTGTTTTAAAAGGTTGTTTTCTAATAAGGACCAATAAGTATTGAACTATTGTTTATCAAGAATTTATCAAATATTTTAATGGTTTGTAATATGTTTTAGAGTTAATTTGTTTATAAACCTTTGCATTTTTATTAAGACATCTTAAAAAACCTATAAAAATTGTTATTATGTGACACAAAATTAAAATTTCTGAACATTATCGCTGTAATCAAGCGATAATTGTCTTCTAGGCATATATAAGAGGGTAATTATCAATTTAATGTCATACTTTTTGATAAATTATACCTAAATAATTATAAATTATTATACATGTTTGATAAACCTTTTTTTAAATATCACTAAAAGTTATAGAATAATTAACTTTGAATTTCTCATTTAAATATTATTTGTTAGTTATACTTTAATTTAAAATTAAATTAAGTGTATATTTTGTTAAATATATTTATTAAAAAAAACAAAAATGTGTGTTTTTCCACTTAATTAGTGGAAAATAACCGAAAATTGTCGAAATTTTATATTTTTTGATTTTTAATGGACAATATTACGTATATAATCCTTTTAAAATCAAAAAAAATATAAAATTTAAACAATTTTCGGTTATATTTCCTTGTTTTAAATAAAAATTCAAATATCCAATCATTCAAATTTCCCGCCGAAAAAAACAACTCGGTTTTCCAAGGCTGCTAGATTTAAAAATCAACCAATGCTTGTTGCCACTTTTGACTACAGCGCTTTTAATTCTCTTATGTTCTGTGGTTATTATAGTTCATCCACTAACGGACAGATGGTGAGGCAATGATTTTATTTCATATACTTGGTAAATATATGTTTTATTTCATTTGGTCCAGGAAACAAAGATTGTAGAAGGAAAACTCGATGGTAGTCGGGTTTTATTTATTTTTATGTAGTCAGGGGTGCTGATAATGAATCAAGAATATTCCCCAAAAATTTTTCCGCGTCCTCTAATTTCATTCCCCGAAAGGGGAGTTTTTTGCTTTTTGGCTCATAACTCGCTAACCGTGCATTTTTTCAGAATTTGTTCTTTAATACTTTTGATTATGTACTAAATAAGGCACACGTAAAACCCCATTGCTATGCGCAGTGTGCAAAGTTAAGCGTTGCTTTTAAACTCACTTTTTTGTTTTTTTTTATTATAGCCCAATTTTAAAATTAATCAAACATAACCGAATTTTTTGAGGTACTAGAATTTTTTCAAAAGTTACTGTTTTTCAATGTACAGGGTGTTCTTTTTTCAAAACTTTAATTTTTGTGGGGCACTTGCAATAAAAATAATTTTAAAAAACTACGGATTCGTTACGAGGATAAAAGTACCTAAAAATCTAGGGTAGAACGAACTAGCTCATTAAATCCGTTTGGGAAATAAAAAATGGGATTTTTTAAAAAAGAACCCCCTGTACAGGGTGATCCCCTATAATGTCGCCCCCCTTTAACTTTTTTATTTTAAGTGTCCCAAAAAATTTAAAAGTGTGGTTATGTAGGAACTAAAAAATACTTTTTTTCTACGTATAAAGAAAATTGGAAAATTGATCAGTATACAGGGAAAAACAAAAAGTTTATTTTTTTTTTAATGGATCACCCTATATTTGAATTTATTTTTCGATTTCTTGTAAAATTCTTAGCATAATTTATGTACAAACCATATACCTAAATTCAACCGTTTCTGAAATATTCGCATTCGAAATGTCATCATTACATGTTTTTTTAAATTGTTAAAAATCAAGAAGCCTCAGTATACCAAAATTTTTATTGAAAATAAATTACTATAGTGACATTATGTCAATAAGTGTTGTTAAATAAGTAAAAATGGCGTACTCAGACAGAGAAAGAC